TTTACTGTTGTAGCTAATTGCATGAGGCCCCATATACAAAGGTTTTAACCCCATATATCTATAGTAATATATATCATCTTATGCACTGTGTGCATTGTCTCATTTATATTTTTTTTTACCGTTGGGAACTCCTCATGTCTATATGGGTGCATACATGCTAATGAAAAGTTCTAAATTGGTAGCAGTGGGCTATTAGGTAATCTCATTGGAGGTCGAGGCCTTTTCCATCATACAAAAAGATATTGTGGGAGGCAAGGTACTTTGATATCTAACTTGATATGAGTCAACAAGATTTATATACAAGGAGAGGAGAGGAGAGGAGAGGAGAGGAGACCGAGAGCAATAAGGAAGAATGAAGATTGTGATGATTGGAAAACATTCTTGCTTATAATCCCTTTCCCTTCTAAATTTGAGAGCCATATCAGTTGTTCTTTATAATTTAGACAAAATCTATTTTTGGATGTTAAACAGTACAAATGACATTAAATGATTATTGGAGTTCATACTCGAACCCCTATTTGAAGATTGACATAATCCACATCAAGGGTAATATTAGTGGAAAAGCGAAATTAACGTGGGTAGAGTCACTTCTAGGAAAGGGATATGATAGCATGTTATTTGACTGAGGCTATGCCCTTACCCTTAAAGCGGAATGGAAACATATGATTTATGTAGCCAACCCAAGTAATTGGGAAAAAGGCTTGGTTGTCGTTGTTGAATTTGAAACTTACTCTCATAGGGAATTCAACTCTCAACCTTCAATTTTTCTTCCGAGAAAATCATTATTCCTTTCTTAATTATCATATCAACCCTATATAGGCAATCAGAGATGTAGAGTCTCCTATTACAAATTGTTCAATAGACATGGTGGAAGTATTTTTATTACTTCAATTAAGTGTCGAATTATTGGATGCAATGATCAAAGTCCTAGGACCTTGGGGATTTCCTTTTTCCCCTTTTAGCCTTTCTCTTGTTGTTCCTCACTTTCTTCTCACCACTTTTCTTGATTTCTTCACATCCTTTTCCTTTTAAGGAATTCTGTTAATCCTCCTAGTGCAATGTCTGCTTCATCATTTTCATGAGTTCTTCTGCAACCTGTGCCGGGGTGACCTCCACCTCAGTCGCAAGCTTTTCAATTTCAGAAAAGATGTAGTGGTTGGTTATACCAAGGTAGTTAGAAGCAAGAATCTTGAACTCACAAAAAGTGCAGTAGGACATGTTGATGTGCATGTCCATGCAACCTGGTCTAAGTAATGTAGGGTCAAGCCTTTCTTTGTGAGTGGTAGTAAACACAATAATCCTCTCGTCGCCATAGCTTGACCATAGTCCATTAATAAAATGAAGCAGACCCGGACGGCGTCAACTGTCAGCGAGGAAAAAAATGACAATTAAGAAGTGAGAAAGTTAGCTAGGAGATTACCACCTAGCCATTAGCTTGGAAGGGGAGGTTGAGAGTTCGAGCCCCTTTAGAGGCAATATTGTGAGCGTGTGTGCGTTTGCTTGAACTACCGAGAAAAAAGCTAGGAAATTGAATCAGCCAGCAAGAAGGCCTAGCTAGGTTTGTGGAAAGGTCTCCCAAAAAATGCTATTAACTAAACCAGCCGTCTTTGAGACATGGCTATGCTTTGGAGCAATAGGGGCATATAGCAAGTTCAGGGACCAGAAATGTTTCCTTTTAAGGTTTTGCTTCATCAATTACTACTTAGTCGAGGCATTTTGTCTAGTGGTATTCCTGAGCAGAAGGTGGAGGGTTTGAGTCTCCTTAAGAATATTATAAGAATTATTTGACGAAAAAGAAAAGAAAAGGAAAAAAGAAAAATTACTACTTAGTCTAATGGTGACTCAAGCTATTGTCTTACCTGGCTGTCACTATAGTTGTAGCCTCCATCTTGTCGGTTTTGCAAGTCGACACTGCAATCAATATCCTCAGTCACAAGGATCAATCTATTCGTAATAGAGTGCAATAGGCTTTTAAGGTGTGCATTGTTTTGAAGACTTGTGAGCTCCAAGTCATAAATGTCAAATTTCAGATAGTTTGCCATGGCAGCAACCAGACTCGACTTACCTGTGCCAGGGGGTCCGTACAACAAATACCCGCGTTTCCATGCCTTTCCAACTCTCCGGTAGAACTTTCTTCTGCTCGCAAATCTGTCCAAGTCATCTATTAATTCCTTCTTCAGTGTTGGATCCATTGCCAATGTGTCAAATGTGGATGGATGGTCAAGATTGACTGATCGAGTCTCGGTAAAAATGATTTCCCATGCAAATTGGATTCCTTCAAACGTATCAACGATCTTTTCCCCTTTGTTGATTGTGACCGAGAGTTCTTCCTCTCGTGATGCCTTGGACACCTCGGGCCGCTGAACTGAAGGAGTAATTCTTATGAGCAAGTAGATTTGTGAAGCCCCGAAGACTTGATTGAGGGGAGAGTCCATCATATTCGTCAATGATGAGAGTCATTTGATATGAAAGGTTCCCAATTAGCCCTCCGAGTTTCGATAAGATCTTCTCTCGGAGTTGTTGAGGTATAGGCCAGTTGATCGTGTTCTAGACTTCATTGAACACTGACCTAATTACTGCAGCAAAAGTGGTGTACGTTGTTGACAGAACTGATGTTGTTGAAGGCATGCTTGATACAGAAAACATGCTTATAACTATTTGGACACAAAAGACTACAAGAGAAATAGGTGGTACTTGGATCAGGGAAGTGTTGTTTTTATTGCTTTTTCTTGCTTGGCTTGTCACAATTCTAGGTAAATGGCTTTTTATAGATCATCATATTAGCTGAAGTAGCAACTAAAGTCCGCACCACACAGGAAGAAATTGTGGAATTCAACTACGTTTCCATAAAGCAACTTGCTCTGGAAGCAGAGCAAGACAAGGACAATCTTGTTGAAGAACTACCCTCTTATTAAGGAATTCTCATACACTGGAATACTTTTCAACAAGCTTTAATCTGTCTGTTTTTTTTTTTTTTTCAATTGACAACAAGGTGACTCCGTCTCTAAGATGTTATCGTAAGCTAAGATTTCTTAAATAATTAAAACATGTCACGCCTAAGAAAAGAGTTAGAATAATGAAATTGATAAGTTAATCTTGCATATGTCAATATGTATATTCTAAGATTTCTTATATTCCGTATATGTCACACTTTAACTAAGATTTTCTACAGATTTCTTATACTCCATCTTAAAAGAATGCATAGGAAAAGGGCAGGCTGCAAAGTACAAGTGAAGGGAGTCATGGGACAAGCTCATGACATGGTACTTATTTGCCGGAGAATATATATATATATATATATATATATATATATAAAGAGATCTAAATGGTAGAGGAGACTTTCAATCCATAGAGTGTTGATGCCTTTAAAACCTGCCATGATGTCAGTCCATCTAACTGCGAGGAAATTTCTTACAATGTATGAAATGATGCTGAAAATGATCATGACCTAGCTCCTTCTCTGTGCAAGCAGTGTCCAATGGTTTCTCTTGCTAAAAATTAAATGCTAAAATAGCATCTCACTTTTTATGAAAAGAATGGAACAAAATTTCATTGTTTATGTTTGCAAAAACAATTAAAACTCAAAAAGATATTAAAAAAAATCTCAATTTGTAATAACCACTTAAAATTTAATTTTTTTAGCAAATAGCACCTTACTAGAATTACAAAGAACACACTATTTAGCACACAAACCTGACATCCAAAAATAAAACAATGTTGTTTAGTAAAATTGAAAGTTAAGTACTAAGAATTTAAAGATGTGACTTTAATTAAGTGATTGAATTTAAGTCTTTTTCTTAGTAATAAGTGACACATGTCCTTTTAAATGGTTTCCAAATTGTATTATCAAACCTATTTAATTGAATAACAATTTAATTTATTTAAAATTAAATATTAAATTGAGTTATCAAACAAATTCTACAGATATGTATCTTACACAAATTTAGAGATTAGGCTAAAAAATGTTCTTACTAATGTCACATGTCATTTATGACTGCCGTGAAAGTTCCATGCTGTGTAAAATGATGTAATTTGAGAAAAAAATATCATAATTGAAATTTTACTATTATGTATTTGCTACATTATCAAGGGTTAAAAATACATTATCGAGGATTATGAGGTGACATTTTTAGAGAAGGTGCAATGAATTAAATCAAATACAAATTATACAGACACAAAATATATATATATATATATATATATATATATATATATATAAATAAAAAATAACCCATTGCCCAACCTTTTTTTCATTCTATGTCACAATATCCTCTCTTCAATTTTATAGTTCACACTTGCGATAATTGGCAAGGATGTCAATTTAACCCTCTCCGAAATCTCACCAGGACGAGTTTGGGATCATCCTAAACGAATTTTGGATGAATTTGAAATAATAATAATAATAATACCTGCAAGCCACGAACTTGCCCTGATTAATAATTAATATATAAAAAAATATTTGTTTGCTAAATATTTAAATATACTACAAAAAAAAACAATTACCAAATTTATCTTAAATTTATTAAAGTTTGCGTGGTGCTACTAACCGGGTTTGACAAAATGAAAATGTTACTTTGAAGCTCTAAAGTCTTTGTTGCGCTTTCTTTTGTAATTTGATATTGGCCCAAAATTGAAGACTAAAAAATCACCCTCAAAATCAAAGAGGCAAAGAATGCGTTTGTGGCCTTTTGTCTGTGATGAGACCTTTTTGCGTGTGTGTGTGTATATATATATATATATATATATATATAGGATACAAACATTTATTTTTGTAGCGAATATAGAGAGGGAGGGAATTAAAATTACTTAGAGATGGCACAATTCATTTTATAATTCAAAGATGGTGGTTGACAAATCAAAGGGCAATTAGATCATTTTGCCATGTGTCGGGGGCTCTTCCTTAACCGAACTTGAGGGAGGGAAGGGACTAATTTTCATCTGACCCTTTTGTCTTTACAAATTAGCATCAGTCGTTTTGTATGAATGTAGAGAGTATCATATTACGAATTACAAATTATAATATCAAGCATATATAGGCAATCACAGATGCAAAGTATCATAAAGCGATCACAGATGTAGAGTATCATCATAAAGCAAATTATTTATAAATACTTGTGATCACACTTTGGCTTAGGCATGCAATAGCAACTATGACAACAAGAGTCCTAAAAACTACTTTGTTTTACTTCTTTGTGGGCTTTCTTTTCCTCCATCTTGACCACCGCATTCTATCCTTTTCATTTTAAGAAGTTGTGTTAGTCCTCGCAGTGCAATGTCTGCTCCATCACCTTTCATGAGTTCTTTTGCAACATCTGCTTGGGTGACCTCCACCTCCATGAGTAGGTTTTCGATTTCCGGAAACATATAGTGGTTGGTTATGTCTAGATAGTTGGAAGCAAGAAATTTGAACCCACAAAAATTGCAGTAGGACATATGGATATGCACGTACATGCTCTCTCTGCTCAGCAACGTGGGGTTGTGAAGTTTGTCCTTGGTAGTAATCACAACTATCCTCTCCTCACCACAAGCTGACCATACCCCATCAATAAAATCAAGCAGCCCCAATGTCTTCTGGCTGTCACTTTGGTCCGGTCGGTTCTGCAACTCACTGCAATCAATATCCTCAATCACGATGATGGAACTTTTCGTGGTAGAGAGCAATAAACTTGTAAGCTCTGAATTGCTCATCAACCGACTTGTGAGCTCGAAGGCATAAATGTCAAATTTCAGATAGTTTGCCATGGCAGCAACCAAGCTCGACTTACCTGTACCAGAGGGGCCGTCCACCAAATACCCACGTTTCCATGCTTTCCCACCTAAACTGTCCAAGTCATCTATTAATTCCTTCTTCAATGGTGGATCCATGGCCAATGTGTCAAATGTGGATGGATGACCAAAATTGAGGGGACGGAGTGATCCGTCCACCCAAAGGAAGTAGAGCTTTACTATTTTGGTTTCTTTTTTAATGGCTTTTGACCTCTCTAGTACATATGGCAAGTAAGAGCTCAATACCTTCTCTTTGTACTTATCACAGAAACTGAGTTTGATTGATTGACACTTACCCTTATTAGTAATTTGCCATACAAGTTGGATTCCTTCATATGTATCAATTATCTTTTCCACTTTGTTGATTCTGACTGAGAGCTCCTCCTCCTTTGCTGTCCTGGATACCTTGAGCTCCTGAACTGAAGTAGTAGTTCTTGCGCGCAAGTAGATTTGTGAAGCCTCAAAGACTTCATTGATGGAGGAGAGTTCATCGTATTCATCAATGACCAGAGTCATTTGAGATGAAAAATTCCACATCACCCTTCCAAGTTTAGCCAAGATGTTCTCTTGAAGTTGTTTAGGTATAATCTGGATGATCATGCTGAACAGTGTCTTAACCAGTAGTCGTAATGCTGTTGAAGGCATATTTGAAGGCATATTTGATAGAGCTTTAATCCAGTTCTACAACGGCCTGTCAAATGACAATAGGGCTCAAAAATTATACAGCAAGCTTCCTTCTTATATAAAAAGCACATTAATTAGCATACGTCACACCTAAGAAAAGAGCTGAATAATGAAATTGAACCACTAAATTTTGCATATGTCAAAACTAAATTGAATAATGAAATTGAACAATCTGAATTTGATTTTGCACATGTAGAAACAACATATATGACCCCAAATCCATCTGATCCTGTTGTTAGTGAATCTGTCTGTACCCGTAGTCCTCACTTATTTATATATATCAGTTAACTATTATGAATGAATTTGTTCTACTATTATGATTGAATTACTATTATGAATTTGTGCTGGAGAGATGTATGTGTGCATATATATAAAATCCTTAGATGAGTGTATTCACCTGGTAAAAGGATCTCCGGAATTGAAGAAAGATACGAGGATATATGGGCTCTCGTGGCTAGGGTTCCTTGCAGGAAGGGACCGAGAGTAAGTGTCACAAATTGGTTTCTAAAAGGGTTTTTTTGTGTGTCGTCTCTACCATAGAGCGTATTTATAGAGAGACAAATCGCAAGTGTCCTTGCAATAAATGGAAAGGAAAAAATTAAAAAAAGGAAATTGAAAAATATGACTTATTATTATAATTATTATTATTATAAGAAGAATAAAGTAAATACAAAGATTTTAGGTAAAAAATGGAAAGGAAAAAATTAAAAAAAGGAAATTGAAAAATATGATTTATTATTATTATTATTATTATTATAAGAAGAATAAAGTAAATACAAAGATTTTAGGTAAAAAATGGAAAGGAAAAATTAAATTAAGGAAATTGAAAAATATGATTTATTATTATAATTATTATTATTATAAGAAGAATAAAGTAAATACAAAGATTTTAGGTAAAAAATTAATTTTTTAGAATTTTAATGATTATATTAAAAAGAGAGAGTTAATTTTAACTGCACCCCGCACCTTTGACCATATTACAGTCACACCCCTTTAAGGTTCAATATTTCACCTACCTCCTCTCTTTGTAATCCGTAACTTTACTAGCTGGGTGATTTTATAATTTTACCATCAATTATATATTAATATTTATAAAATTTTGGAGCTAAATTAAAAAGACAAAAACACCCTTCTATTTAAATACACAGACAAAAAAAACACAGCTTTACACAGACCATTCTTCCCTCGCGTCCCTCCTCCGCGCGCCGCCATCAGCACGATCGGATTACAGCATCGACGGCCATCACCCATCACCGTCTTCGCCATCCACCTAGTCGAGCATCGGTTGCGCGTCCGCGGTGGTCAACATCGCAAGTGGCCTTGCAATAAATGGAAAGGAAAAAATTAAAAAAAAAAGGAAATTGAGAAATATGAATTATATGATAAATAAAGTAAAGGAAAAAAATTAAATTTTTAGAATTTTATTAATTTATATTATAAAAATGATTATATTAAAAAAAATTGGGTGTATAAAAAATTAGAATGACTCACAAAATCATTCATCAATCACCACCACCACTGGCGAAGACTTCTTCTCAGGCGAACCCCCACCACCCCTTCGTCTTCGTCTTCGGGCGAGACTTTTGCTGTATATTGCAACCTTTACATACAAAATTGCAAAATATATACCTATATAAATATAAGTTATATGCAGAGAGAAGAGGAAGAGAGACCAGCAGGATCGGCGGCAGAGACCCGAGCTCATAGATCCATTCCTTAATCTTCCATTTTTTTTTTTTCCAAGAAACCATATGCATTACAAAAGATAGCAGTGATCTCTCTTCCAATTTTAACCTAAATCCATCACTTTTCGTACGGTAGAGAGAGGAGGAGATGGATGGAAATTTTTAGAGGGGCTGAGGGTATTTTGGACCATAACGGTACAATTTTTGTATTCGCAATTAATTTTGTTTTTAGCAATAACTTTTGTACCTAATATTTTTTTGTTCCTTTTGTGCTGTAAGCATGTTTCTAAGTCATATAAAGCGGGACGAGAACGAATTCAAGAGTTAAAGTATAAAAGTGACAAAATTAGATTACAAATAGTGAAAATTTGAGTGAGAGCGTGCGGAGCGTAAGAACAGGAGCGTGCTAGAACCACACCCATTGAAGAAGATCGTATGACTTAAGTACGAAATATCTTAATTACCATTTTGCATTTAAATTGAATCATTTAATAATCGGTGATTTCTCATTCTAGTGATTGGTTATGTAATATTTGATTTTGTTCTACTATTATTTTAAATGGGGTACTGCAAATTCTTTTCATTGTTATATATTAACACATTGATGATTCATCAATTTGAATAGGAAGTAGTTTAAAAAAAAAAAATACATGAAAATCTATTCGATCTAATTCGGTCAATTATTTGATTCATGAATTTAATAGTGGTTAAAAATAAATAAATAAATAAAAACAAACAAACTTGAAAATTGATTCGATTTAATTTGATTAATTCAATATATTGATGATGATTCATCAATTTAATTTAATTTTTTTTAAAAAAAAAAAAGAGAGAGAAAGGTTGTGTTTTGTTTTACTTACTTCGACAAGAGTGTCCTTTTGGGCTTGTAAGCTTTCTTCAATGGAGGAACTGATACAAAACGGTCAGAGTTGGTGTAAAGTTATCCTCTTTATCTCTTACTATAGTCGGCAAACTTGGTGTGGGTGGAGGGAGGTAACAGTTCTAGAGAGAGTGAATAGGAGGAAGAAGATGGACATTTTCGTAATTTCACAATAATAAATATCAGTTTTTAATTTAATATTAAATTGTAAGATTAATTTTGTCATTTCACATGCTAATAAACGGGTGAGTCACGAATATGTAGTAACTTAATAGCATTTTTTTAGTTCAATAGGTGTTTAATTTTAGTTGAGATTTTTTGAACGAAAATGATAGTAGAAAAGGACTGTGATTTTTTTTTTCCATATAAATATGTATGCTTCCTATTATTTTGTTTAATTAGTTTCGTTCCATCCAATTTTTGATTACAGTTGGAATTTGTTCAATCCATGATACGGAGTAACTTAATTTTACTCGTGTTATAGTACTTTATATTTTGTATAAAATATGTGCTCTGATTGGCACCTTATGTGTATTTTGTATAAAATATGTGCTCTCATTGGCACCTTATGTGTATGTTACCATTCACAAGTTCCGGAGCTATAATGGTCTATAATTTGTATAAATATAACCTCTCAATTGAAAGTCATGAATAGATCAAATATACTGAACTACACTTCCAAAAGGAAATCAAATTAAGAACACATATCAGACTATGGGAAAGGAATTAAATAATTTTTTTTTTTTTTTTGGAAGTTGAAAGTTTTATAAATATAAGAATAATAAAGATATACAAGCAACTAAACCAATCATGTATGCTTGGATTCAATTCAGGTTGGATGAACCTGCTAATGTGGTTTAATAAAATTGCGACAAGTGTTAAAATTAAATTGGGCATTGCCTAGCTTTTGCTTTTAGACATGTATTTTAAATCTTAACTTTTGTTTTTAGACACTTGTTTTAGATCTATTGGACCAAATAAGCAGGTTGGAAGTATTGTTCCTTCAGGAGTATCCTAGTAGTGAATTAAGTGTGTTAGTAGTAGATCCTGTTATTTTGTGCTTTGTATGCCTTTATTTAAGTGAATATAGTAAATAAAGATTGTGCTTTTGTGTTTAACAGTATTATGAACTTATGATACTCTGCATATGTGATCTAGGATAATTAATTAAGAAAAAATGATTGTGTGACAAAAATGAGGAAATGAATTTGAAGTATAAACTCCAGTGATTATATAATTTCATTAGTTACTGTTTGACATCCTAAAATGGATTTTGCCAAAACTATAAAGAAGAACTATAATGTACGCAAGAGTGGAACTACAGAAAATTAACAAATTCCAACTACAAGCTTAATTGACCATTTACACCATGTTTGAACACTTTCATAATCTCATTATTGATATTCCCTTTCTTAGGCTTCAGAAGTCTTTGAGGAAATGGGGCAACAGGAACAAAATTCCTAACCGGAAGATTTGTTAAAGATTGTGAGACCGGATTTGGATTTTCAATTTCTGGTTCAACTGCAGGTGCAGTTTTGTCCACATAGACATAGCCTTTTTCAGTTTCCTCATAAATTTGGGATTTTATTATCAACTTGTCTACCTGACCTTAGGGTTATGATAGACTGAAATAGGAGTTGATTGGTCACAAATCTGAAATTGGCCTAATTGACTCTTTGGGTTGGGAACAGGCTGGCTAGGGAATTTACCCTTTTCTCTCGCCCCTACCACAGTGGCTAATTGGCCTATTTGGTGTTCCAACTTAACAATGGTCTGAGTGTTCTGTTCGGTTGAAGTTTTGACTTCAAGAATGGCCTGACCAGTTAACTAAATGAATTTTTGGAGTGAATCTTCTAAGGATGACCGTTGTTGCGGTGGTCCAACAACCTGAGGAACATGTTGAGAAATCGGAAGATACGATTGAATAGGAGGGCGAAATGGATTATTTTGCATTTGGTTCCCTCCTAAGTTCTTTTGAGATTGGATCTGTCTCCGTGAAAATTTAAGAAATATGAGTTCATCATTTCGTACACTGAAGAAGATGAACAATGAAATGATAGACTGGCATAATGCTATGTTTGGATTGTGGGAAATTAGATTTAGGCTGTGTTTGGGTTTTGCATAAGGGCATTATTGTCTTTTCATATTTTCGAGGGCACTATGGTCATAAATATTCAACATTTGTGCCACATGACCGCAAATGGTATTTTTGACCACAACATTCCACTGGATGGAGCAAACTGCAACAAAAATGAAAGTTCAGGGCGTTCCTTGCAATAGGACCAAAAGTAGGGGGGTTATTATTATATTATATCATATTATACTACTCCAAATGTGGGAATGTCTATGAATATTTCTAGGGAAAATATCACTTACTTCTCTCAAGTCAGGCCTAATTTCACATAGTATTCCTAACGTTTCAAAAATTACACTGATTTTTCTTAAAGTTAGTCCCGGCATAACACTTTGCCCAGGTGACACTACGACGCTTTTTGATGACCTCATCCATTTTTTTGTATGAAGTATCACATTTGCCCTTACTATAGTTGCAAAGACATTGTTACCCTTACTATTGAATTCAAAATTATTTATATACCCTCAATAAAAAATAAAAAAAATCACATTTGACCTATGGATCAAAAATAAGATTACAAACCCAAAATTGGCGTTCTTGAATCAGTACTCTCTTTACATACACGAGTACTATATTCTCTCTCTATATATAGTACATGTATATATTATATATGTGGGGGTAGGGGGGGTGAAACTAGCAATGGTGGTGGTGGTTGTCGACTGCTGAGATGGTGGTTGTGGTTGTCGAATACAGGGATAATAGTGGTGGTTGTGCGGCGGGGATGGTGGTGGCCGGATCTGCAGCGATGACAATGATATAGAGTTTTGGCAGAAACATTAGCCTTTTGATTGTACAAGAAATTTGCCGACGATATTATAAGAGTAGCTGTTCTTTCTTTCTCTGATCTACGACCACCTCTGTGCTTCCTTGCAAGACCAAATTTCCCAACGTGATGAATTACCCAAAGAACAAGTCGTCATCTATTGAAATGGATTGGATTATGGAGTTATTGGAGAGCTGGGTAGTTGGGTCACTTCACAACAAAATAGATGGGCAGTTTGGAAATCAAAAGATAATCTACAGTAAAATTTCATATCCATGTCAACATTTAAGAAAACTCCATTAATTTGGAAAATTAGAATTTGATTCCATCTTTTTGTCCTTTGACCTCCAAAACACCATTTTTTTACAATTATCCTTAATATATTTGCAGTGATTTCATTGCGTGAGAATTTTATTTATTTATTTATTTTTTTCTTGTTCAGGAAAAGAAATTGGATAAATTATATTGATCTTCTGTGAAGTTTCGATAAATTACACACAGACCATTTGACGGTTATTATATTGATCTCCCCTAAACTCGTTCTTCAAGTGATTTTGAGAGTGACAAGTCAGTAATGGCCCTTTTATACAAGGGGATAACAAGATTGTCATTTTATAAAATTCGGTCAACAGGTTTATTAGAAAGAAAAATGTTAGGGGTGTTGTTGAGCACACATGATAAATCTCAGGGGAAGAGGTCAAAGTAATACTCGTATGTAATTCTCTCTCAATAAAATCAGTGTAATTTACCTAAAGATTTTACACAATACTCTTGGAAAGACTTGAACCCTCCAGTTCTCAACCTTTCATTTTGAAAGGTGAAAAGGAAGCACTAAACATATTTTTATTTAATATAACAATATCTACGTAAGATTATTTATTAATTGTGTGGCCCACATGATTTGGATATGTGATATATTTCATTAATTAGTGGTCAAGTAAAAAGATATCGGATTAAAATTATTTTATTTGGTTAACTTATAAATTACCTTTATGGTAATTAATTATTGGAGAATTGTTTTCCTATTTATTTCTTATTTTGATGAAAAGTGGAATTAAGGTTACTAAAAAGAAAAACTGGTTCTCTTTCTACCTTTATAAAAGTGCATATATCCCATTAATTATGTATGCTAATGAAAACAATACGTATAATATTTATGTGTACAAAAGGTCAAGAGAGATAAACCAGTTTCCACGCTTTGCCTATTATTTAGAGTTGCGGCTTAGTTCGTTATTAAAGGATCTCGACGTTGGACTTGATTTCTACGATATTTGCAATCACAGATCGATGTATTTATACTTAACTACTTTATTTATACATTATAGCAATGTGAGAATAATGAAATTATAAGATTTTGGAATTCATGCTTTTTCGTGATTAATGATTTGCATGAATAATTAAAGTTTACATGTGGTATCAGAGCTTAAGGTTTAGGGACTCATTATTTTTCTTTAACGTTGCATAAATAATATTTAATATATAATGATGATTCCATAATTGAATAATGTGTTATTTTGAATCTGCACTGTGGATATGTTTTGATCAGTATTTTCCGTGGGTTTGTTTGAATCAAGTTTTGTGCACTGATTTTGGTTTTCATACATATATTTCTGATTTTTATGTAATTGCATGAAAGTCAATTACTTAATGATGCATGTATGCACATGCATAATAAGATGAAGTTTCCTTTTCGTACATGATTTTGAAAAAGAAATATGTGTATTATTATATACTAATTTTAATATCATTATAGATGAATTTTGTGGATACCAAACTAACTTGGGTATCTTGATTTCCTAGCTTGATTTAATTGCTAAAAGTATTAATGGCAGCTTGTTGCTATTAGAAAGAAACTCAAAGTTTTATCAATTATTGTTTGATGATATGAATGATTTTATTTTTAATTATTTTATAATTTTTAGAATAATATGTGAGTTTAGAAATTTGACTTTATTGGACATACAAATAAATTATTGTTTAATACCAAAATATATATACATGATAGAGAATCAATTTTAGATTAATTTAATTATGATCTTTAAGTTAAAAAATAAAAATATGTTTTATTATGTATATAAAGTAAAATGATATTTTTATTGAATTTTTTAGACTATTAAGTTTTTGGGATCGAACCTACCTAAATTTAAATTGATCAGTATGAGTTGTGTGTATAATGTTAAATGGGCAAATTAATGATAAATTAGTAACTAGCTAATTTAATATTCATGTTGTGTAGGGGTTAGTAGCTACCAAAGTGGCCTAACCATAATGATTTATGAATATTAATTTTAGCTGTAAATATAATTAATGATGAATTAGTCACTACCTAATTTAACATTCATATTATGTAAAGGTTAGTAGCTGTCAAAGTGGTTTAACCATAATAGTTGATGAATTTTAATTTTAGTCGTAAACATAATTGCAATATTTCATGAATTATGATGCTTATGATTTTTTGTGATATTTATGAATATTGAGTTTATTTAATTATGAGAAATAATTCTCCAAAGGTAATTGATTTTCAAGTGATTAAATGAAAATTAAGGGGTTGTATGTTTCTTTTAATTAGGTAGATATAAGATATTCAAAGATAACTTATCTTTAATTAAATAATGCATTACCAATGAAGGTATACATATAAAAACATGTAAACATCATTACTAGTATTTTATAGTTGTCATTCAAAGGGGTACTATAATTGTATATTGTATTTATATTTTTAAGTTATACACACGTGTTGTTAACTCACAGTTTTATTATTGTGAGTATTTTATCTTATTACGTTTTATTTTATTACATTTCTTAATTTGCATGCTATATCTGTTTTGATTCTCAATAAGAGTAATTTCTCATAATGAAATACTTAAGTTAAATTAAAATTTTAGATATGTTAAATCAAGATTTAGCATTTTAAATTAAGACCTATTGTTATTATTGATAAAGAGAGTGAAAAAAAAATATTCTCCGTAAAACTTGAAAAAGATAAACATTATGATTATATATTAGAGTTGCAGTGTCACGTGATGATGTACGTACAGTTTGATAGAAGAAGAAGTGAAATGGGGATATGGGAATTAGATATCGTGATCCAATAGTGCAACAACAATTAGATAAAACCAAGTATAAAATCTCTAACTACCACTTCTACCCCCACAAGGGTCATTTTGTTGTTTCAACAATTTTGCCCTCCTTGAAATCCTTGTTTCAGAAGGAGAAAAAAATGTCTCATAATCAAGCAGAGATGGATGAACAAGCTGCAAGAGAGAAGGCCCTTGAAGAATGGCTTACAATCACTTCGTCAAGAACTGCCAAATGGTGGTACTCTGCATTCCATAATGTCACGGCCATGGTAGGAGCCGGCATCCTCAGCTTTCCATATGATGGTATGTTTTTCTTTTCTTTCTTTCTTCCCCAAATCAAATGTTTATATTCAGTCGTAATGATGCTTGAGACTGCTAAGGTTCTAGGTATTGATCAATTTTGGTGTTCCTATCTTTTTACATTAATAATTAATTTCACCGGGTTGTGTTGGTTTCTTTTTAACAAGAATGCTTTAAAATGTTTTTCAGGTTTTCAATTATTAATTTACAATTCTTTTAGAAGGTTTCCAAGTGATGTTTCTTTCAAAATTTATTTTCGTTTTTAGATAGTTTTTTTTTAGGATATGATTTGCAGTGAATGAAATGTTCGGAAATTTCATAACCTTTAAACCCTCAACATGTAGGGGTCCCGAGGTGACCATGTTAGTCCTGTCATGGATTGTCACCCTGTACATGTGGCAAATAGTTGAGATGCACGAAATGGTTCCTGGTAAGCGGTTCGATAGATACCATGAATTAGGCCAGCATGCGTTTGGTGAAAAGCTTGGGCTCTGTATTGTTGTACCCCAACAGCTTATTGTGGAAGTTGGCACGTGCATAGTCTATATGGTCACTGGAGGAAATCATTGAAGAAATTCCATGAATCAGTTTGCCCCAACTGTGCACCAATCAAGACCACTTACTTCATCATATTTTCGCTTCTGCTAACTTTGTTCTCTCTCATCTGCCCAACTTTAACTCCATTTCTGTCGTCTCCTTGGCCGCAGCTGTAATGTCCTTGAGGTAAGTGCTCCGTTAAAAATGCTCTAAATTAACTTCCTCATGGCATCTTCATAGGAATTTCATGTTATCAAACTGGTCAATGTAATGTTGTTTTTCTTTTCCCTCTTTTGGGCGTTACTGTTGCTTGCAGTTACTCTACCATTGCTTGGGCAGAGCTTCGCTTAAAAAAGGAGTTCAAGACAATGTGAGCTATGCTCCAATATCTAAAACCACATCCGGAAACGTTTTTCACTTCTTCAGCGCCTTGGGTGATGCATTTGCCTTTGCCGGTCACAATGTGGTATTGGAGATCCAAGCAACAATTCCTTCCACCCCTGAAAAACCTTCCAAGAAACCGATGTGGAAAGGAGTGATAGTCAATGTAATGTTGTTTTTCATAGGAATTTCATGTTATCAAACTGGTCAATGTAATGTTGTTTTTCTTTTCCCTCTTTTGGGCGTTACTGTTGCTTGCAGTTACTCTACCATTGCTTGGGCAGAGCTTCGCTTAAAAAAGGAGTTCAAGACAATGTGAGCTATGCTCCAATATCTAAAACCACATCCGGAAACGTTTTTCACTTCTTCAGCGCCTTGGGTGATGCATTTGCCTTTGCCGGTCAAAATGTGGTATTGGAGATCCAAGCAACAATTCCTTCCACCCCTGAAAAACCTTCCAAGAAACCTATGTGGAAAGGAGTGATAGTGGCATATATCGTTGTTGCCCTATGCTATTTTCCAGTTGCACTAATTGGATACCATATATTTGGAAACAAACTTGAGGACAACAACCTTCTATCACTAGAGAAGCCCAATTGGCTTATTGCAACTGCTAACATGTTTTGTTGTTGTTCATGTCATTGGAGGCTATCAGGTACATTTTCAATTTTTTTTCTTTCTTTTCATTGTCATCATCATCATCCTTGCCTTAATCCTATACAAACAGGGTCAGCCAGCCACATAGATTATCGTTATCACTTCATTCCATGTTAGTTTTGGTCGACCCTCTGTGTAAATCACTCTCTCTTCATGGGTGCATCTGTAGATCGATATTGAATATGCCCTACCATCTAAGTCTACTTACTCTTATTTTCTCCCTAATAGGTGCCACGCCTACTCTCTCTAATCCTTTGATTATTAATCATATCTTTCCTAGTTGCTCCTAACATCCATCTTAACATCCACATTTCCGTCACATGGATGCCTAGTTCGTGTTTCTTTTTGAGTGCCCAACATTCTGCACTATGTAGCATAGCCAGTCTAATCATTGTCCTATACTTTCCCTTTTAATATTTTTTTCTTTCTTTCATATTTTACTAATTATCTGTCCATGCTAACAGTTTATTTATCCATGATTCTTTCTTTATTTTTGCCAAAATTTGCAGATATTTGCAATGCCAGTGTTCGACATGATAGAAACTTGGCTGGTAGTAAAAATTAAATTTAATCCCACTTCTACACTGGGCTTCCTTACTCGAACATCATATGTTGGTAAGTGGTTCTACAAAATTCAATAATTCAATTGGTTTAACGTCAAAAAATTGATTTTTTTTCATGACAAATCTTTTTCTTTACCTTTCCTTTTTTCGGGTTTTTTTTAATTACAAATCTTTTCACCTTGCTTGATTGTAGGAATAACAATGTTCATTGGTATGACATTCCCTTTTTTTGGTGGTCTACTTGGATTTTTTTGGAGGATTTGCTTTGGCACCTACCTCATATTATGTAAGTGAAAAACCTATCTTCTCCTTCATGAATTACGAACTATGACCAATTTGCAACAATTAATGTTCATTCTTCAGATTAACCAAGTTCTTCATTATTATGGCTATAATTTTATTTTATTTTAATTAATTAATTATTTAATATTATTTTTTTCTTGTTGCAGCTCCCCTGCATCATATGGCTCATCATCTACAAACCCAAAAAATTCGGCGCATCTTGGTGTGCAAATTTTGGGTAATGCTGATTTGATATGGTGTTAAAAAAAAAAAAAAAAAATGATATTGAATCAACTATTTTATTTATTTCTTCAATTTCTTTTTAAGCATGGCAACTAATCTAATTTTATTTTGATTCATGTGATTTCAGTTCTGCATAATATTTGGTGTGTCCTTGATGATTTTAGCACCCATCGGTGGGCTAAGGCAGATCATTCTTCAATCGAAGGCCTGCAAATTCTACTGGTAAATACTTACTCTACTTGCTGATTTTCAATGTGTTTAGGAGTTAAATTTCAATTTCAATTTCAATTTATGATAAAATGATGAAAATGAATAAGAAGAAGATGATGATGATGATGGAAGTTGATGTTGTTGAATGTACCCCTGGTTGAACCTGTTTCAGACATCAATAGATGGGAAATGTTATTGTTTATAGAGTCTGTAGATCAAGTTTATTTTCAAAAAATGGAATGTAGCCATTGGGCCCAATATTTAAAAGGGATCTCTTGCAAAATTTCATTTTATATTAGTCTGTCAGTTTGTATTTTGTTGCTATAATTGCCAATAATACCATGGTTTGCTGATTTGTATTTCCATTGCTTTGTTTGGATAATCAATTTCAAGTTTTCGACTCCAAAAGTGTGATTTACTTTGTTGTTGTGGTCGACGATGGTGGTGTGGGGCCTCTTAGAGCATCACATAATTCATCATCGGGCACATGCCGACTATTCAATTCTCCTGTCCTACATACAACGGGCAGTTAGCAAAAAAAATTATTAGGAGACTGATTTTTCTCGTCGAGTTATAATCAGAAAATCACCTCAGAAGCAAAATGTGTCTTTTGCTTCAGTTTATTGACAACAAATTAATAATTACACCACCTACTGTTAATTAGAGCCATCAAAGTAATTATTACATTCCTATGAGTCTCTTCTAAAGTTCTCTCTACCTAAAACTTGTGATAATGTATAGAAAGTTTGTCCTAGTGACCATATGTAGTATGTTAGATGCATTTGTTATCTCCATCCATGGTTGATTTTCCTTTAATTCAATGAAGTTATTTCGAGAATTCGAATTCCACCGGAGCCATGAAGGAAATTTTCGATAATTGTCTAGTTAATCGGAATTGCATATATTTGGTAGTGAATTACGGGGTGTTCGAAGAAACCCGAAACCACCATCGTCCACCAAAAGAAATATAAAAAGAATTCAAGCAATAACTTTGGACTGACTTGATTCATTTTGCTGAGAATAGTTTTTCATTATACAATAACTGAAAATTAGCACACAATTCAAAATTACTTTTATAACATCTGGTTTCTTAACTTTTTTTTTTTTTTTTTTTTCGGCATCGGGAATTTCTGACAACCGTAACTGTTTTAAAATAATTAAACCAAACAAGCTCTTAGGTTCTGGTCAAATATTGTGGCATCAATCAGGTTGAGATTTATCAAGAATTGAAACTAAGGATTATCTTGCTTGGACTTCGGTTATTCATTTTTGGATAAACAATCATTTTTCATAAACAAATAAATTGGGTTGGAAACTAAACCTACTTTAGTTTGTAACTCCTGAGAACAGTTGAGGACAATTTTATGTATTGATAAAAATGAAAACAATATAAAAAATTCTTCTTGATTTGGTTTATTGAAAATTCAATTATAAAAAAATCTATTTTAAGAGAATTGCCTTTATAGTTTAATATGTTCTCTGAATTCTTGAGAGCCGTTTTTAGAATTCTAAACCAAACAGGCCCAATAATTTGGTAGTACTATCCCAATCCCTTTTCGCCAACAAATTTGTTTTTGATGTTTGGGTAAAAATTATGGAGTCTCAATTTGTGATTCTATATTGTGAAAAAAAAAAGTTATGGTTCTATATTAATTTGTCTTCATGTCTTTTATTATTATTATTATTATTATTATTAGTCTCAATTTATTGTTCTATATTGTCAAAAAAAATAAAAAAATTATGGTTCTATATTAATTTGTCATATAGTCTTTTATTATTATTATTATTTTCTGAAAATTACAAACCACCTTGAGTTTGAGGCGTGTGACGGCCCCACATAAAGCTTTGGCGGCACTTTTCTCTTCTTTCCTCTTTCTCTTTCTCTTTCTCTTTCCTCCTCCTCTCACCAAATAAGAGTGACGTCAGATATTTTGAACCACCTCACTTTTCTTTTTCCATTCGACTTTCGCACTTCTTTTTCCCTGTTTCCTTCTATTTTCTTGAACTGTTGGACTCTCTCTCTCTCTCTACAAACAGATCCGGAGATTAACTGATCAAGATCGATAGTTCTTCGAAGAACGACGTTTGACTCTCGCTCTACAAACAGATCCGGAGATAAAAGATGAACCGATTGACGATCAACTGATCAAGATCGATAGTCATTCCATTGAAGAACGAATTTGGTTAGGTAATCTCCTTACACATACAACACACAAATGCACTATCATACACAGTCTGTTCTCGTGGATGGTGAAATTATTTTGATTAAATTTGCATAGATCAATCTCTCTCTCCACTTGCTTTTAACTCTCTGATTATATATCTATTCAATTTCTTTAAATGCACAATTTATATGTATATCTTCGGTTGTAAATGATCATCATCATAATCGTCGTATAGATCTCGGTATGTATTTATATATATACTAAATAATCTCTCTCTCTTCACTTCCATTGTATATATGCAATTTCTTTAAATGCACAATTTACATGTACGTCTGATCATCGTCTTAATCGTCGTATCTCTGTATTTATTTATATATATACAAAATAATCTCTCTCTCTTCACTATATGTATGTCTTCGGTTGCAAATGATGATCATCAAAATCGTCGTATAGATCTCTGTTGTCTAGATATCTCTCTATTTGTGTATATATATATAATCCTAATATAGGGAGTTAAAACAGAAACAGAGTGCACACCACCAACACACTAAAACACATTGATTACATATAATCATATATTTGCTTTTTACTCTATATCTCTCTATATATATTTATGTTTGTAATAAAAAATAATAATAAAAAAAAAAAAATTAAAGAGGATAAGTGTTGATTGAGAGCTCCAGTTGTTAGTGCCTTAATTGATTAACTTTATACATTGTGCATTTATGATTACGTTAATGTGTTTTTCTTACTGTGTCAACCTTCCTGTTAGTTAGTGTGAGATAACGTGGGACTTCATATTACTATACCGTGGTTGTTTTCATTGCATCCACTTGTTTAATTGTGCTAGGATAGGTTTTACCATGTTTTCTTTTCTATTTTTCTTTTTCTTTGTTACTTTCATTTATGTTAAATTGTTTGTAGGTATTTTTTGTGGGTAAATTGTTTGTAGGTATATTTTGAGTATTGTATAAGTTTAAATGGAACAACTGCTATAATCAACAGATATTAAATAAAAATTTGAATTAAAAAAAAAGGTACCACAAAAATTTAAAACCGGAAATCGTTTTGTTGAGTTTGGTTTTATCAGTGTAAAATACCTCATAGATATGATATTTTTCATTTTAAAGCGAAACTATTTTTATTTAATAGGAACCTGAACCCTTAACCTCCCATCTAGGAGGAGGAGATACTACTTAAGCTAAAGGCATGGTGGTAAAACAAGTATGCCGCTAGAATTAACAAAATATTATGCAAAATAGTAACAAAAGGCAACAATGATGATGAAAATAAAACATTGGTCATGTTTCTTTTTCGACTTTCAACACACGTCTCCTTACAATATAGTTGGCCCAATAACTCCCATAGTTTTTTGTCTTTTTAATTTATTTGGTATTCATTTGTACCATAGGATACAACTAGTTTGTCTCCATTTTTTCCACCTTCCTCCAATCCTACTTACTACATCAACATGGAGTCCTCATTCCATCTTACTTTTTTTAATAAATTTCTTTTCCTTAGCCTCTCCCAAAGTTTCCTTTGCTTTGTTCCTAATAGAACCCGCCATTTTTTACCATAAGTTATTTATATTGTCATTCCAATCCCATTGTTTTTCCTGTTCATTTTTTTTCTCTAAATGTTCTCTCGTGATTACCTTTCAATTCTTTTTACTTTATTTGTTGATATCCTTTTTCTCTAAATGAAAAAGCCCAATTTTCTGTCTAGAAAGTACCTTTTTACCCAGAAATCTACAGCAGAATCTGTAGCAAGGCAAAGACTCCAAAAGTCAAAAAATGCAGCGTGTTTACCATCGACCTCTTCAACTTGTGAATTGTAGGGTCTTCTCACTCAAAGGTCCCGCTCCCTTCCCTTAAAGATTTACATGTTTTGCCTCAAGGGACACGAGACCTAATTATATGATCTAAAATAAGACTTGTGAGTTATGAACCTCTACTACAGCCCATGTCCAACATATTTGACAAACTATGAAAAATCCCTTAACTCCTAGAACATAATCAATCATAAATGAAACTGTCTGGCAAGACATACTGTTTTCTCCCCCAAGTATGACTAGCAATTATAGTGTAAATATCGTTCGTTATGTAACATGTCAATGAGTGTGTAACAGCTTTTGGAAGCCCATCCGATTCATCCTGATTTTACTGGGGAGAAGATTCACCTTTGTAACATTCATTAACATTACATAATTGACTATTTGTGTAATATGAGGGACCATGGATGCTTACATTCAGTTTGTCACAGGAAACTAACAGCCGTCTCAGCTAGTTTTAGTTAAAACCTGCTCCTGGATGACAGACTTAACCTTTTACTTTACTTCACTGGCTTTTGTTTTCTTAGGGTTCAAAATCTATATAATTTACTTCTCTTCACAGACTTAACATTTTACTTTTCTTCACTGGCTTTTGTTTTCTTAGGGTTCAAAATCTGTATTGGAGGTTAGATCTACTGATTTAAGGCTAAATCTACTAAATTGGAAGTTCGAACAACATGATTAAAATTTTTCTTTCTTTTCCCCACCCAGATATAGTCTTTTGACAACAGACTACTTGTGGTTGGTCCAAACATTAGATAATCACACATATGTATTTGTTTGGTAAGATAATTACGATCTTATTATTATATTTATCGGTCTCTTGCTTCTTTTTCTTTTTCTTTTCTTTTTTTTTTTTTCCTTTTTCAGTAAGAGTATCTTGCTAATTGTAACACCTTTTCTATTTTGTTATTTTTATTTTTAGATATATTGAATGTCAAAATCACATTTTTGAGGTATCTTAATACTACGATAGAAGGTGCATAACTTTTTATGGTACGATTTTTTTATCGTCTCACGTAACTTTGATTTTTTGTGAATATCTATAAGCTCACTAGTTGTTTGATTTAAACTTCAACTAGTAAGAATCTAGCAATTAAATGATTTATTAGGTCTTTGAATTCAATGCCATGCTGACATAGTTGGTAGTTTTGAATATTTTTCTTTTATTCTCCAAGTTCAAAACAAAATTGTTCTTGTCTATCATTAACACACACAATTACTATTGCTTTTTCATTTGTGTAATTCTAAGCTTGTAAAATGCCTATTTAAGTCTCAATTATTTTTTGTGTTGTGCAAAATATATGAACTGTTGTCGTATTCAAAATGACAGGTCTTTTGGCATAGGTTCTTTTCAGCAGTTGAGTTCTACAATGTCTCCCAAGACATTACTGTCCACACTTTCTGGATTGATACCATCTACAGCATCACTGTGGTCAGCGCACACAAACCTTTTGGCACTCATGATGCTAGTGAAAACGATTCTTGGAGAACTCAAGATCCTAATCAACCAATTTGTACCCGAACAGCTCCAACATTGGATTGTATCAAAATTTGGATGTGGTCGTGCAAATGAAATGAAAATTGTTATCAACGAATATGTTGGCCACTACACCAATGAGATATTCGAGGATGCACAGCTCTATTTGAGCACATTCATTAGCCCTTCTGTTCAGGTGCTTGTGGTTTCGAAGAAACCACAGGATGATGCTGTTTCTGTTACTGTCAGCAGAGGTGAAAAAATTACTGAGATTTTTGAAGACATCCAGCTTGTTTGGAAGTTGGTCGGCAACGAGTATCAAAAAACTGAGGGTGGGTTTACTACTAACAAGGTGGACCAAACTCTTGAACTGACTTTTGAGAAGAAGTACCAAGATAGGGTACTTGGATCTTTTTTGCCCCACGTACAAGAGAAGGCAAAATCTATTAGAGAACAATCGAGGGTTGTACAGATCCACTCACTTGGGAATCGGACTGCTAAGGGGTCCGTCAATCTTGGTCATCCTTCTACGTTTGAAACATTGGCGATGGACCCAGAATTGAAAAGGTGCTTACTCGAAGACTTGGATAAGTTTGTCAAGGGACAACACTTTTACCGGAAGGTTGGAATGGCCTGGAAGCGTGGGTATCTATTGTACGGCCCACCTGGGACGGGTAAATCAAGTTTGGTTGCTGCCATGGCAAATCACCTAAAGTTTGACATATACGACTTAGAGCTTACAAGTCACCTGAGCGATTCAGAACTTAAAAGGTTGTTGTTATCAACTTCAAATAGGTCTATTGTCGTCATTGAGGACATTGATTGTACCATCAACTCGCAGTCCCGCCAAGGGGGAGCTTCCGGTAAAAGTACCGACCAGGTAATATTTAGCTTGTTGCTTAATTTGTGTGAGATTGCGATAAACTGAGATAACAGAATACTTGGATAGTTTTAAGTGTAATTTTTAATTTTTTATAATCAAGTATAATGACTGTATGGAAGGCTGGAAGCCCTTCATGTTGCATAATTTTTGCATTCTGGAGTCAAATTCCATTGTTGACATTGATAGAATAGTTTAGAATTGACCCATGAGTAATGCTGAAGATACGATTAACTTGTTAGTTTGTTTAATTTTTTGTTTGGCTGGATTCTCCATTTACATACCCATGATTTCTTTGATGTGTAAAATCACCCACTGATATTGATTTTTTGTTTTTGTTTTTGTTTTTGTTTCTACATACATATATATAATATTGTTATGATGTGATACTCGAACAATTTATTAATGGGAATTAAAGACTTGGAAGTTTAGTTTTCAATTTCAGAATATATGTTTTTCAAATTTATTAACGCTTTTAAAACTTTTCCTTTTTTGTCCTAATAATATAGGTCTCTTTTTTGAAAGAAGAGAGTTGATGGGAATGGGTGGAGTTGGCAAAAAGAAATAGGTATGTTTTTTTTTTTGCCTAGCTAATTAAATTTTATAAATCCCCTTACGTCGTTGACATTGATAGAATAGTTTAGAATAGACCCATGAGTAATGCTGAAGACACGATTAAGTTGTTCTTTTGTTTAATTTTTTGTTTGGCTGGATTCTCCATTTACATACCCATGATTTCTTTGATGTGTAAAATCACCCACTGATATTGTTTTCTTTTTCATGGTCCTTAATCTGTTAAGATGAAAATTTCAGATCAACATATGCATGCTACAGAATGATATTGCCCTCTTGTATGGGGTGCATGCTACACTAAACAGGCAGCCTCATAATCGTTGTGCAGTTATGTTGTTATAGGCTCAACCACGTAGCATGTTCCTATATATTTGTATTATTGAATGCTATGTTCTGGGCAATGTACCATTCAATTTGAGTGTAAAGGTCTGAAAGAACACACCCTTGGTTAATTGTCCTCCTCTCACATTTCAAGTTAAATCAACTGCAATTGCTTAATATTCAAGATGGCACTAGTTCTCCCAGGAGCGTGTGCTAATCAGCAAAGATTGGTCCAGCTTCTACATTGCCCATCGAGTTTGGTTGTGACAATTTGGTATATAATATTCTAGATAAAATTTTCTCGAACATGGAATTAGTTTAGGTGGCATACATTGTTCCCTACTAAAGAAGTGAGAACTACTGTTAAATTACTCGGTTGCTCATACTGGAGGCTTTTATGTGGTACTGAACTGGATTGTTCATTAATATACCTTTGGTTTCTGGCATTGCTTTAGGTGGTGATGGTGACAATTTTGGGTCATTGACCTGCCTTCTTTTTTTATTTTTATTTTTTTACTGGGGGAATTTGGGTGACACTAAAACACATGTATTTTTTTCAGACCACACTCAGAATTATGTGCTTCATAATTGTTTGTATCACCTTGCTAAAACTGTAACGCTGCATGGTTGTGCTCACTGGGTCTATCAAAAGGCATAACCCTGAATGGTGTTTCAATATGCTATTGCAAGTGGGATATTCCTCTGTGATGTTCACTGAGGCAATTAATGCATTCATCATAAGTTATCATGCATGAACAATTATAGAAGGGCGAGTTGAATCTAAACTAAACTCATTTAGGTTTATTTAAATAAAAGGACATTTTTGATTGCATTACTCTTTGGAACAACTTAAAGCCCCAAATGCCCTTAACATGTCAAACTCATGTTTTTGATAATACAAACTGAATTGGCTTTCCGTTGGCTTTTCATTTCTGGATGACAGATGACACTCTCGGGACTACTTAATGTGATTGATGGCCTTTGGTCGAGTTGTGGGGATCAGAGAATTATTGTATTCACCACCAATCATAAGGAGCGGCTCGACCCGGCATTGCTGAGAGCGGGTAGAATGGACGAGCATATACATATGTCATACTTAAGCTTTATGGGGTTTAAAACACTTGTGAGTAATTACCTAGACTTAACGGACCACCACACATTTCTTGAAATTGAAGAGCTGTTGACAGATGTGGAGGTCACTCCTGCACAGATTGCCGAGGAACTGTTGAAATCAGGTGAAAAGGAAATTGCACTGAGAGGAATAAGAGAGCTACTCAGGAGGAAAAAGAGAGAAGGTGGAGTTGAAGAAATCAGGAAAGACCAAGTGTAGATATTGAAAAAGAGAGAAGGTGGAGTTGAAGAAATCAGGAAAGACCCAAGTGTAGATATTGAAAAAGAGAGAAGGTGGAGTTGAAGAAATCAGGAAAGACCCAAGTGTAGATATTGAAAAAGAGAGAAGGTGGAGTTGAAGAAATCAGGAAAGACCAAGTGTAGATATTGAACAAGTTTAAAGTGTAACTAGTACTAATTCATTTTATAGTTGTTTCTGTATCTGTTAGCATAGTTTTACTGTCTTGGAACAAGTACTAATATGATGCTGTGCTTTATGTCATGGAAAAAAGTCAGTAAAGACTGTATGGGGATTAACCTTTAGCAAGTGTCCTTTTTCCTTCTTGCAGAAAGGAAAATGAACATAACAATTTCCACTATTTCTATGATGATTTTTGTACAACATAAGAAGTCAGATGGTGTTTCTTGTAATAATTCACCATTTTCTCTCAAGGCTTTCTTTTGTTTTTGTTTTTGTTTTTGTTTGATGTGATTATGTAGAAGAATGGGGAATCTATAGTATGTATTGCCTGATCTCCAACCCATCATATTTAGTTGGGTATTTTGGTTGGCAAAATGTGCTGATATTAACCTTTTTTGTCAGGTGTATTCAAGTGAAAGTGAAGGTAGTGACCAAATCATATTAGTGGGCTTGTAGAAAGACGAGGGTGAGTCTTGGGGCAACTGCAAGGTTGCTCCATTGTGAATTTGGAGGAGGTCAGAGATATGAAACATGGAAATAACCTCTCAGCATGACCTTGCGGAGGTAAGATCGTGGACATCTAACCCTCTCGAGACGGGGACATTTGTGCTTTGAATGGTTATTTCTTTGAATTGTTGCAGCTGTATGATTGTCCAATGTCATGCAATAATCCATTGCACATGAAGAAACCATTAGGATGGACTTCTTGCTCTTTCTATCAATACTGTTATCTGTATACACAAACACTGATATGTTTGAGGCACTGTTATTGTTTATGCTAGTGATCAGTTAGTATATTTGTATTAGAGAGTGACACTAAACCAGGAAATGATGCCTGAACCAGTGAATCTAAGATCCCTTTGATGGGACTTTGTATGTTTTTGAAAGTTGATTTTTAGTGCCTATATTTGTATGATCACATGGCTCACCCTTTGTATTGTAATGCATGGTCCATATGCAATCTCCTAAATTAGTAAAACATATCCTAAATTTTAGGGCAACAACTTTGCAACCCTTAATTTCAGTTTCACACATCAAAGAACATTTATTATCATTCAAACTAATACATTAAACTGATACTAGTACCAAAAAATACAAAAAAAAAAAGAAAAAGAAAAAAGAAAAAAGAAAAGAAAAAACAATACGCATTACTATATGTAATTGTTCTCCCAGAAGCACATAATTTAGGAGATTTTATTGCTCTACTTTGTGGACTTTTAGAGTTCATCCTTCAAATAGGCTCTTTTAGGGTTGTCTGAGGACGACTTGATGGGATAGGAGGCCTCCATAGCTATACCACATATCCCCTCTTCTGCATCGATCCCGCGCTGCATTCTAATGTAACCTTGTTCTCCCCATTCTGTTCCCCATGAGTTCTTCACTATCCAATACTTCGTCCCATCAACAGTTGTTCCATACCCTACAATCGCAACCCCGTGGTCCAACTCTTTGCCACAGTCCCCAGTGTACACTCCCTGCAATTTCACAATCCATTTCAAGCATAATTAAGTTTGTTTCTTCTAAAAAAAAAAAAAAAGAAATTGAAATAATAGTGTACATATAATGCTAGTGAATTATATAAGGTGATCCTTTAGCCTAATATTGCTAGAAACTTACCTCTGAGTAGAATTGCAAATTGGAGCCCCCTGCATCAATTGCGACGGATACAGGTTGGTTAGCGACAGCTTTCATCAAGGCATTTTCGTCGTTTATAGGTACATTTTCATGGCCATCGATCATCACTACAGGAGAATTCATCTACAAGAAAAGCATACAAATTAATTTACGACGTATACCAAGTCGGTTGGTTATTTGTTGAGAAGATAGAAGAATGATATACCTTTGATGCATCACAATTCCCATCTCTTGCCTTGTAGGGGTATATCTTCTCAGCTGTTATACCACCATTTTGCTTAATGAACTCGTATGCGTTTTCCATTAGTCCTCCATTACAACCTTGGTTATCAGATTCACAGTCCACCAGTTCTTGCTCAGACAAAGAGACTAATTCTTTGGTTTTAATTTGGTTGATACCCTCAACTCCAACTATGGTCGAAAATGCCCAGCAGCTACCTGCAAGCAATATAGTAACACGGGTTAGGTAAAGCTCGGACTTTTACCTTAGACTTGATGCTTCAGTAAGTTATTCTATTAGACTTTGAAATGACATTTCATCTAAATGAGACTTACCACATTTGCCTTGGTCCTTGACACCAGTGACTGCTCCTTTCTTCCTCCAGTCAACGGATGGCGGCAGATTGTCAGTCTTCTCATGCATGAATCCACCTGTACCGGCCTTGCTGCCGCGGAGCATCCTGTAGTGTTTAACCTTGGAACCAGCATAAGTGCTTCTGAACTCATGGCTGGTCATATCTGCAAACTTGTTCAGTTTCAACTTGTAAGGCTTGTCTATGTTGTTAACCTTGTGAATATGCTTCACATTCTCCTTGAACACATTGAAACGCTTCTGTTTCTCGCCAAGGTCTCGTGATACTGTGTGGTGGCTCCTCCACCTCTCGTACAAGTCCCACAACCTCTCCTCAGAAGCCAAGTCCTTCTCAGTGAAATCTAAGCTCTGGACCAGCCCCGAAGCCAGAGCCAGTAACAGAGCCACCAAGAAAAACTTTCCTATCTCCATATAACAATCTAAATTGGGAAATATATATATATATATATATATATATATATATATATATATATATATATATATATATATGAATGAGAATTATGGGTGATATGAAGTAGTTTGATATGATCTTTAGTTATCCAAACATGTCCTTATATAGAGGTGAATTGCATAGCTTTTTCTTAGCTCCATGAAAGCTTTAACCTGAAAATAAGGGATAAAGAGTTTCATCTTTTTAGAGGCTATTCTGCTATTTTTAGAGGTGGGTTATTGGGGGGTTATACCTCTACATGCAAACCACGTTAGATTTTTTTATTTTTTTGTGGAAGATAGACAAGTTAGCTACTTTGAGAAAACGATTTTGGCAAGTGAAAGACAAAAAGAACTCAGAACTGTTGTGTCTTTTGTTGATCACCAATAGCTTTTTGAAAAGTTTGCCAAACTTTATGAATGGCTTTCATGTTGTAGTTCAGCTTGTATCTTGAAGTGAGTATTATGCAACCATATAATATATAGTATTATATTGTACTGAGCTGGATTTAGAAGTATGGTGGTGTCGGACCTTTAGAGCACCCCATAATCCACCACTAGGGACTGCCCTTAAGGGGATTCGAACTCTCAACCTCTAGGATGTAAGGTGAAAGCCCTTGCCATTAGGCTTACCTTGAATTACACCTGGATCACAACTTTGTGCATGGTAAATTCATGGTTTCACAATCATGAAGTAAATCTACTTCCGACGAATGAAACTGAACAGTAGTCACGACTCGACTCTCATCAACTAAAAAACATGATTGGCTTGCCCTTGATTCCAACTCTGAATTCCTGTTTTCTTACAAGATGAACATATTCTTAATGATCAAAAGGTGTTTTCTTGTGTTAACAAAGTTTCAGTCCACAAGAATGCATCTCAATTTAGTTTTTACCAACAAAGTTGGTTTCAAATTAAACAGTTTCTGTGCAGTAAACATTAGATATAATGTTCGAAATTATCTCAAGAATTGATTTGGAGGAAAGAATGGTTTCAGCAGGTCACTTGCCCAAAATCTGGAATGCAAATAAAAAGGGCACTTTAATCCCATATATGAAAAGCAATTAAAGCATTAAACATTCCTCCTCAATCCTGGAAACAGATGAAAGAGGTAAACAGCAGAGTATGGTTCCACCTTTCAGACAGCTTTAAAATTGATATAATCGTTAATATAACACTTTCTTACATCCATACAAATCAAATTCAATAAAGAAACATATGCTTTGATTGAAGAAATAAAAACTCGCATTAGAACCTTAAAACAAAAACAAAAAACATAAACTCGCAATGGAACAAGTTCAGAAAATATTCACGGAAACCTCATAAGGTAGAAACTACACAACCAAATCACAGACTAAAACCACAATCAGCTACTCTGGAGGAACCAGCAAAACCTGTTCAGAGGTCAAAAGATGCTCCTGCTTCCATTCATGATTTCACACACACACACACACACACACAAGGGCCTGGGATGCAGATGAAAAAGTCTAAACCATTTGGTATACTGGAATATTCAGTGGCCAAGCCACTTATGAGCTTGTACACATCCATCCTCCACTTTTTCTATTTGAGTAATAGCAAAAATATGTTCAATTTTGTATCTACTCCGGTAATCATGGACTGTTCCAGACAGGTAATAATATTACTGTAAATCAAATCCTTAGGGCAAGGTTCTTAGTGCCTATTACTCACACACGAAGAAACACGGAACATAAATTAAGCACCGATCACAAATTTCGTGTCATGCTTATCACATAAGCTACAGTGCTTCAAATATTAAGCTGATCTGAGGAAATTAAGGTTCACAAGAACAGATCCAAAAACATTTAAGTCCTTCTCAAATAGGTTCAGGTATTAGAGAGATCATTCCTTATTATCTTCATAAAATTACTCACTTTCTAATAGTCAACCACATAAAATCAAGCAGTAGGGAAGATGCAGAGAATTGAACAGGCGTATACAAAGAATATCAAGCAAATGGCTCACTTGATTTCTCACAGAAAATAAACTTCATCTTGGCTCCGTTTGTTTAAGCGTAAATATTTTATGTGTTTTCTGGTGTTTCGTAAGAAAAAAATATTAAAACCTAACAAAAATAACTTATTTATCAATTTTCGGTAAGCTATTTTACACGCCCCACCCGATAAACTCAACCTCAACCTCGACCTCGACCTAAACCTTTGCCAAACACCAAAAAATAAAAATAAAAGAAAATATTTTACCTGAAAAAATAAAATATTTTACGTTGAAACAAACGGAGCCTTCATTTAGACTTGAGATCGTGAATTTAACCTAACCTGCCATTTCTCATATTCAGGGTCTTATGAAGATCCATAATCGTTGCAGGACCTAAAACTACATTAAGCAAAGGGTCATTAACCACAAACTTACCTTCAGCTTAATTGCACAAAATGACTGCCCTCAGGATCAGAACCCCATTACGCTTGACAGCCCGAGAATTAACTTCAATGACCCCTAGAAACTACAGTAAGTATAAAACTAATTATAACTAAATTCCCTATTGCACTAGATATTCACTCTCGCAGTGGGCTGTGTGAACTTATCATTTAGCGTATCATGCTAAATATCTCAAGTCAGTAAGTTACCAAAAAGAGCAATGCTATCAGGTGTCACTAGGTCACACTCTTGACAAGCCATGAGCTCTTCTTATTGACCACAGAATTCAGAAGGATCTCGAGATTTGTGAATGTAACTACGAAGTCAAGAGAACTAATCTAAATTGTATGGTCAATCAAGAGAACTCATCACTCTTGTCAAGAGGGTAACCTCATTATAATTTTTCCTTACAAAAATTGGGTTAGCTAGAGTGAGAATCCACGGTCCACAAATTATAACAGCTACTACGTACTGCCACTGAACCATATAAACAGGAACACCAAATTTGTATGAACATTTCCCTTCTAGCTTTCTTCCCAAGCCAATGTTGAATGAAGAGGGCACACACCTAAGCTCCCAGGTGGTAGGCTTTGTGCTCTATAATTTAACCCTTTAACAGATAATTTAAAAGGTTTCAGCCAAAATTAAAAGTTAGTAGCATCAAAAGCTAGAAGCAGAAAAGGGCAAAGGAAATATAAGCAAAATATGTGGTAAAAAAATATGATAAGGAATAGGAAGTGACAGGTAACATGGAAAAATAATGGGCTCTAGCCTAGATGGTATAAGCTCTCCACCCTCTTTGGGGAGGTTGAGTGTTCGAGCCCGGGGGGCAAAAATATATAGTGGGTGTGTGGGTTTTGATTGAACCTTCAGGAAAAAAAAAAATGAAAGTGATTGAAATGGATTGGAAGCTTATCAAAAAACTTATTGAGGAACTTAGATAAAATTAATATGGAACACAAGAAATATACTACAGTAAAATACAAGCATGAATTCAGTAGCAACTACTAAATGTGGAAAGCAACAGATTATTACTGAAGAAAAGGTCCTAAAAGTACAAAAAATTGAAATATAATGGAATCATGTTTCTCAAAAAATTTCTCAACATTGTCTGTGTTTCTGGAAAGTCAAATGTTAATTTCTCCATAGTTTCCAAAAGTTTTTGAATAATTTCTCAGAATTTTGTCTTGGCTCCCAAACAAGTTTTCCATCTTATTAGAAGCCTTCGGCAAACCACGAGCAGATTCTCTAAATTACTTACCACATTACTTAACATATCAATAGGGATTTTCAGGGAGTTTGAACCAAGTTCAGGCACTATTGAAAATTGCATAATCCATAAGTAACGTTTCAAATGTAAATACTCCATATATGGAATCACAACTATGATATATAACACATATATATTTGATAAGTACAACTATGATAAACATTCCAACTTTTCATTTTAGACACAATATACCATCCTGACTTATAAGAGCAGGGACAAAAAAGATGAACAAGAGTTTCAGGAATGCTTTATACAGTAGGCATGGTGACAAAAAGAAACAACTTATTTAACTTTGCTAGGTAAGTTCAACTGCATGCAGTTTGCTTATATCACTCCGATGAGTATGAGAACCATTTATCAAAAGCAAGCACAATTTCATCAATCAACCAAACATATATCATAAAAAATATATATAGCTCCGTATCTGGTGCACTACAGATAGTTACCGACACCCCAAAAGCATTCCAATGACAATTCAACAAACCAGAACCTAGTGAGATGAAACTAATCTCCATCACAAAAACAGGTTTCACAATTCATTCTAAAATTTCCATTTGAAGCAGGAGCAATCAAGAAACACTAACCAGAACAATGTATGCAGCAGTTTCAAGCTCCTTCAATAATCAAGAAGATACCAAATATATACATATATATCGGCAAATATATGTTATTGTGATGTTGTGCAAACTCATCCAAAAATGAGTCAGTCATAAGAAAACCAATTACAAATTCCAACAATTGCAATAATTAGATATATAAGAAATAACTTTATTCCTGGAATAGCTGAAAGAGGCAAAGCACTGAATGAAAAACAAAATAGCTTATTCATGAGAATCATAATAATTGGTTTAGTACAGGAATCATATCTTATCCATGATATTATAATCATTGATGCAGCACAAAAGTCATATCTTATGAGAATTCTGTCAACTCTGACCGGAATAAAGCAAGAAAAAACAGCAACAATAGAAAGTTCACAGAAAATGCCACCGACATCGAGACACAGGGCTTAAGCAACAGGGTCCTTTTCCCTTGCTTCTCGTAGCAACTCTTGTCTCACTCTCTTGATCTCTGCTTCTCTCTCCATTCTTTCATGCTGCAAAATATACCAACTTATTATATCAGCATATAACTGCAATAGCAGTTAAAATGCATTTGTGCATATCAGTTGTTTCAATATATATATATAGTTAAAATGCATTTGCGCATATCAGTGGTTTCAATATATATATATATATATATATATTGTCAGGCTCACTGATTTTTATATCATTTTACGTCAATTAAACATATTTTCATTATCATTTGTTGGTTTAAACTCAAATTAGGAATAAAAAACCACAACCAGTGACGATATTTACTAAAATGGGCCAAATTTCCCAATGTCTAGAAACAACCACATATGCCCCCAAATTATTATATTTTGCTAAACATGAGAGAAATGATAATTTCAAGTTATAGACATCTAATTCCACTTAGTAAAAACATTTCCTTTAAATATTAAGATATGGTTCTGTTTAATTTTTCCAAATTTGATAGCTAACAATAAAATATACAAATCAGATCTAACCTGAAACCAAAAACACCAAAAACAAAAGACCCAAAAAGAAGAAGAAAAAATTGTAGATATATGTATAATTATAAAATCAAACATGCATAGACTAAAATCTAGGTCCACGAATTAAGAGAACCCAAATGGAAAACAATATACAACTATATATATATATATATAAGCAAGAAGAAATGGGAAGGACCTTTTCGTCCTGGTGAAGAGCGATCCAGACATGGACTTTATCCATAGATTGCCAGAAAAGGAAGGCCCCAAATGTCATTGCGAAGAATGTTGCCACTTTCACCATCTTCTTCGATTATCTTTCTTCTCTTCGAAAAAGCTGAAATTAATTATGAGTTTCTCTATGTGTATCAAATCAATATCAAATCGAATAACTTAATGAACAATTACATTGATGATTGACAGAGAAAAAGCGGGTCTTGAGATTCATCACCTGATTGTGCTATCTTCGTTTCGTTGCTTGACCTAACACCAAAACACTACCAATTTGGGATTGTGAAGTGATTGTGATTGTGACCGTGTAAGTGATGGAAACGACGTCGTTTACATGAACATAAATAGTTTTAGGACCAGATCCCATCAAATTTCTTTTTTTCTCCTTTTATTTTCATTATTATTATTATTATTTTGACATTAATCCTTTTCTGAAATTAAACAGGTTTCATTTTTTTCTTTTTAATTTTAAACTGTATTTCTGTTAGTTTTAAGATGATTTTAATTAGAGCCATTTTAATAGTAATTTTTAAGACAGTTTCTAAATAATTTTATCTTTTATGATATTAGGAGACAGTAAAATTGTAGTTTCTTCCTCTCAAAATAATTTTTCTATCCTAAAAACTGTGTGACTCATAAAGGTGAATAACTATTCTGGGACGGTGGGACGGTGAGAGTAATATATATGACAATTTTTTACCTTGGGAACTGTGTGCCTCACAAAGTGAATAATTATTTGAGGACGAATGGAGTTATATATGACAAATGTGTTGATTGCATGAGGGATACAACAAATGATGTAAAGATTCATAATAGCATTTTGTAAAATATGACACATGGCTGGTCATTTATTTATTCTTTAGACTTTGGAATTATTTAAGTTTCAGTATTGGAGCTTGGGATTTATCATACACAACAAAACAGTAAATCATATTCATATGATGATATTTCAAAGCTTGTTAAATTTTGATCTGACAGTATGTTGATTACATGATAAATTGGATTATGTGAAATTGATAAAAATAAAGATAATATGTCAGTTTTTCATGTTCTTAAACTACATATGAAATTATCAAATGGACTTTTTAAAATTAAAATTTTAAAAAATAATTCAATTTTAATGTACTGAATAAATGCTTAGTCCACGTCAAATAGTGACCTTATCGGTGAGACCTAAATATTATTTCTCGACAACTTAAAAACTGCTATTTTAGTTGGACTACCTTTCAACTTTTTCGTATCTCTTGGAAATGTCCACACCATATCCAAGGCCAGTTGATCTCCAAAAATGCTCTTTTTCAACTCTTGGCTGTCTCCATTATGTATATAACAAGAGGAAAATAATAATAATTATTATAATAATAAAAAAACACCATTAATACAGATATTCATAGGAAATTTACCAACAATTGATTCTGTTTGTCAAAAAGATATCTACAAAAAGAAATATAATCTAAACCAAGACTTTCTTAAAGACCCTGTTCATTGTGCTAACATGATGAGATTTTACCAAGTTCTTTTGAACTTTTCTTGAAAAATTCACAGGTCCTAAGCCACATGTTTGACACAAAGAAGAAGAAATGAATAAAAAGATTACAAATTCGTTGAAGCACTGGAGGGTCACACATGATCAAGTTGAACAATCTATACATGTATAGACAATGTTTCTTGTTTTCAAAGATTCCACTTAAGTTGATCCCATCGAAATTCCAGGAGAGACATCTAAAACAATGTAAGCTTTATAGAACAAAAATGAGAGACTTTGATTTGTCTCATTTAAAGAAAGCACAAGTTAGTCGGCACCGGTTTCGCTTCATCTCCAGTACCTTCCTGCTGGTTGTCCCTCCTTGATCAGCATCAAACTTTCGCCCCTAGCTGACATGAAAAAAGAACAAAAAAATTTAGACAGAGACGAGAAATCCTTAGAACAATCAAACACACGAAGCAAATGAATTTTCACATTTCAACCAAACACTCGACTTGGATCTTTACATGCAGTATCAAGATGGCATAACAATCACTTAATCATGGGTGATTTCACCAGCAATTGACGTTCACATGTTCCTTTGACGATGCTTACTATGTTGTGGTATCCACATTATAGTATTATATTTGTGAGTCATGATATAAAGCTTTCTGATGGAGTACAAAAATGGCCGAAAGGATCCAAATTCAAGCTAAAGAAAACAAACAGATTAAATTAAGGAAAGCATCCTACACCCAGAGAAACGCCGTTACACAAATTTGCATTTATATCGATCATTATCGGTATTGGGATAAAAGAAAAAAAAATTACCATGAAGGGTGGTTGTCCCCATATTCCTTTTAAAAATGTGAACTGTATATAAGTCCACAAAGGTGTTTCAGTGGACTTGAGGGCTGCGTCCATTTGTTAGTAGCCGTTTGAAATGGGGACCAAAGGGGGCATGCGCATCTTCCGGTACGCTGATCGCACGGACAGGCTGTTGCTGTTGTTCGGGACTTTGGGTAGCATTGGGGACGGGATGAGTATGCCGCTTACGATGTTGATTCTCAGTAATCTGATCAACAAATATGGAAGCACTTACTCTAAAGATCATTTAACTTTAAGCAATCATTTGGTGAACGAGGTACACATTACTAACTGCATAACTTGAGTAATAACCTACCAAAAAAGAAATTCAAACCATGCAGCGATAAGCTTTTTCATGCAATTGCCCTCTCCTCATGGTTCCCAAAATACTGAAATTATTGAATGAATGATGCATATGCAGCTCTAACAACTACAAATCAATAGGAAAAAGATCTCATAACTTTAGATTATTATCTCTAACTTACTGTATTTATGATGGTATATCTTATGTTAGAATTATTCATTTCCTAGATGGTTGTTTGACCGGTTATCTGTTCTACAGTATGGACTCAAGATGCTGTATGTTGCTATTGGAGTAGCCTTTTCTGCTTTCATTGGTAAGTATGATTGTAGAAGGTACTGTTAATACTTGCATTGCAGGGATTAGAAAAAACTAGCTAAGTCAACTGGTATCTACAGTTGTGCTATTCTGAGACTAGTCTAATTCTTCAATTTGATTGTCTTGCAAGCTTGAGTTCTTGACTGAAACTCGGTCCTATCTTAGGTTAGATTAGATCTTTGAACATGGGCTTCTTCTAAAAGCCTCTATGTACAAGGAGACCTTAACCTTGTCCACTTTTAATGCCAATATATGAACCAGAGGTTCATAAAACCATTGCTCAAAACATTAACTTTCAAAGCCTCAGATTCAAGCGCGGTTTTATTGATCCATCAGCAATCCTTTCCAACAGTAGAATATGATTTTTTTTTTGTTGTTGAAAGTAAGAGTATCTTAGAAAAAGGGGGGAAGGAGTGGGAGGCAGGGACTCAAGCTCTATATGCAATTTCATACCATATGCACTTGAATGCAGGAAAGTTATCTACGATGTTAATTACATTATTATTCTATTTCTGTATGCATTAATTTTGTAGAGGGAATATGCTGGACAAGAACAGCAGAGAGGCAGACATCTCGGATGATGATGGAATATTTGAAATCAGTTCTCAGGCAAGATGTTGGTTTCTTTGACAACCAAGCTGATTCTTCCACTACCTTCCAAGTAATTTCTAGTGTCTCCTCCGATGCTCATTCAATCCGCGATGTCATAGCCGAAAAGGTCTTCAATCATATATATTGATGTTTCTCCTTTCCCTACACCTCTTCTAGTCAGTTGATAGTATCCTTTGAGTTCATCTGCTTTGATAATTGACACCAAGAGCTCTCTGTGTTTTCTTTTCCATTCTTTCTCTTTACAGCTCTTCTAATGAGTTAATGGCATCTATGTTTCTTCTTTTGTAGATACCCAACTGCCTGACTCACTTATCATCTACAATCTTCTGCTTCTTATTTTCCTTCCTACTGTCATGGAGACTGGCATCGGCTGTTCTTCCCTTAACACTACTATTTTTTATACCGGGGGCAGGATTTGGGAAGCTAATGATGAACCTAGGACTAAAGATGAAGGATGCTTATGGGGTTGCAGGTGGGATTGCAGAACAAGCAATCTCCTCAGTCCGAACAGTTTATTCATATGCGGGGGAGATTCAAACACTAAATAGGTTTAGCCAAGCACATCAAAAATGCACAGAGCTTGGTATAAAGCAAGGGTTTGTAAAGGGACTGCTGTTTGGGAGCATGGGAATGATTTATGCAGTTTGGGCTTGTCAAGCTTTGATTGGAAGCATTCTCATTACGGAGAAAGGAGAGAGAGGTGGAGCTGTTTTCATTTCTGGATTGTGTGTTGTTCTGGGAGGGCTGTGAGTTACTTTCTTCATGATACTTTTATTTATTTATTTTTCTTTATTATCTCTGGTATCTCTTTCTGATACTCTTCTCCCATAGTGACAATCTTACTCCAGCATCCAAGTTAAAATTCATGCATTTTAAAATTAAGCCAAACTAACTTCACGAATTCAATTGAGAAGGAAAAAAGTACATGTCCCCATATGTTTTAAGTTGCAAGTTCAACAAATAATTTAGAAATTATCCACAACTTCAGTATAAGAACTTCATCATGATATAAGCTTGGTTCTTGAATTTTACACTACAATGTTACACACACACGCACACACACGCACACACAAATAATAACTTCAGCATCTTCAAGAAATTTATAGCATTTATAATGTACCTTCACTCACTTGGGCAATTTCTGCATCAAAACTCACAGCAAGGTTGTTGAAACTTCAGGTCTATAATGGGTGCCCTCCCGAATATTTCATTCTTTGCAGAGGCAAAAGCTGCAGCCACCAGGATTTCCGAGATGATAGACAGAGTACCACTTATTGACTCTGAAGATGACTCAGGAAAAATTCTAGAAGAAGTGAGAGGAGAAATTGAATTTAAAGAGGTTTATTTTAGTTACCCCTCACGATCTGATACACTGATTCTTGAAGGATTCAATCTCAGAGTACAAGCTGGCGAGACAGTAGGTCTTGTTGGAGAGAGTGGTTCTGGCAAGTCCACAATCATTTCTTTGCTCGAGAGATTTTATGACCCTGTCAAAGGAGACATTCTCTTCGATGGATGCAAACTAAAGACTCTTTCGCTCAAATGGGTGAGATCTCAGATGGGGCTGGTTAATCAAGAACCAGTTCTCTTTGCAACATCCATTAAGGAGAATATCCTGTTTGGCAAGGAAGGAGCTCCCATGGAACTTGTTATAAGTGCATCTAAGGCTGCAAATGCTCATGACTTTATCACTAGATTGCCTGAAGGATACGAGACCCAAGTAAGCTATAACTTTTTCTATTTCTTAAAATACAATAGGAAGTAAGTTTTGCATGCAGAACTTGACTTGGCAAACTTGTATTGATACCTCAGGTGGGGCAACTTGGAATTCAATTGTCTGGAGGTGAAAAGCAGAGAATAGCCATGGCAAGGGCTTTAATCAGAGACCCAAGAATACTTCTTCTGGATGAAGCTACAAGTGCTCTGGATGCACAATCTGAAAGAATAGTGCAAGAAGCCCTTGACAAGGCTTCACTGGGAAGAACAACGATCATCATTGCCCACCGCCTTGCCACAATTCGTAAGGCCAATACTATAGTGGTTCTTCAATCAGGGAGAGTAGTTGAATCAGGACCTCATGATGAGGTGTTGCAAATGAACAATGGAAAAGGTGGAGCCTACTTAAGAATGGTGCAATTGCATCAATCGACAATGCAGACTGAAGACACTAGTATTCCCTATCAATCATCAGGAGCTAGAAGCCCCAACATATTGATGAGTGCTCAGTCTCCCAAGATTCCTTTCAGAGCAAGATCAAGTTGGCAAAGCAGCCCAGCTTTCCCCTTCAGCCCAGCATTATCCCTCAATTGGGAGCAATCCTTTGATATGCCTCCTAATGATGACAGCAAAGATGAAAAGCCTTCTTATCCTACACCTTCATGGCACTTGCTGCAAATGAATGCACCTGAGTGGAAGAGGTCAGTGCTTGGTTGTTTAGGAGCTGTCGGTGCTGGAGGAATTCAACCATTCAATGCTTATTGTATGGGAACACTTGTCTCAGTATACTTACTAAAGGACAATTCCAAAATCAAATCAGAGACCAAATACTATAGCTTCATATTCTTAAGCCTTACGGTTCTCAGCTTTGTAACCAATCACCTTCAACATTATGATTTTGCAATCATGGGAGAGCATCTAACGAAAAGGGTGCGGGAGAAAATGCTTGCAAATGTGCTCACCTTTGAGATTGGCTGGTTTGATAGTGATGAGAACACAAGTGCAGCAATCTGTGCAAGCCTAGCCATGAAAGCCAACATGGTTCGATCTCTTATTGGAGATCGTATGTCATTATTGGTACAGGTGTTCACCAATGCTTCCTTGTCTTTTGTCCTTGCATTAGTGGTCACATGGAGATTAGCCATTGTGATGATTTCCATGCAGCCTTTTCTCATATGGTGCTTCTATTCAAGGACTGTTCTAATGAAGAACATGTCTGAGAAAGCCCGAAAGGCACATGATGAAAGAAGCCAATTAGCAAGTGAAGCAGCTGTCAATCACAGGACCATTACTGCCTTTTCTTCTCAAAAAAGATTACTAGGTCTCTTTGCAAATACAATGAAAGGCCCAAGGAAAGAAAGCATCAAACAGTCATGGCTTTCAGGTGTTGGGATGTTTATCTCCCAGTTCCTGACAACAGCTTCTGTAGCTTTGACTTACTGGTATGGAGGGAGACTAATGACTCAAGGATTAATTTCCCCAAAGCAGATATTTCGAGCTTTCTTCATCTTGATGAGCACAAGTAGAAATATTGCAGAAGTAGGAAACATGACATCTGATTTAGCCAAAGCTGCCAATGCAATCACATCACTTTTTGCAATCCTAGACAGGAAGAGTGAGATTAAGCCTGAAGATCCAGAAGGGATTAAGGTTGAAAAGATTAAGGGTGAAATAGAGCTGAGAAATGTGTTCTTCTGTTACCCATCGAGACCTGAAAAAATGATCTTCAAGGGCCTAAATCTTAAAATTGAAGCTGGAAAAACAGTGGCAATCGTGGGACAGAGTGGTTCAGGCAAATCAACAGTCATTGCACTAATTGAAAGATTCTATGATCCAATAAAGGGGTCAATACTAATAGATGAACAGGACATCAAGATCTACAATTTAAGAAACTTGAGGTCTCATATTGGATTAGTGAGTCAGGAGCCCACTCTTTTTGCAGACACTATCCGCCAGAACATTCTCTATGGTAAGGAAAATGCTACAGAAGCTGAAGTAAGGAACGCTTCAATTCTTGCCAACGCTCAGGAATTTATAAGGTATTGATTCATGTTCCAACTCACAGTGCAAAAGAAACACTTCTTATTTTAGTCACTTTCAGTAACAAAAAAAGTTTTATTATGCAGTTCTATGAAAGATGGATATGAAACATATTGTGGAGAAAGAGGGGTCCAACTATCAGGAGGCCAGAAGCAGAGGATAGCACTTGCTCGAGCAATTCTGAAAAATCCAGCAATCCTTCTACTGGATGAAGCAACCAGTGCACTTGATAGCGTTTCAGAGAATATAGTCCAAGAAGCACTGGAGAAACTAATGGGTGGGAGGACTTGTGTAGTTGTAGCGCACCAATTATCCACAATACAGAAGTCAGACTCCATAGCTGTGATAAAGAATGGAAAGGTTGTGGAACAAGGATCACACTCCGATTTACTTGCTGTGGGATGTGGTGGGTCATACTACTCTTTAATAAACCTACAATGTGGCGACTCAGCAACTCCCCTTACAAAAAAGGCAGTGGAACTGTAAGTTGGAAATGTTGTTTAATGTCTTCCAAGCAATCTTTCTAGGATGTTTATTACTGGAAGATTGCCATCTTTGACATGAAGGACTGACATGATGGACGGCCGAGTTACCTGGAAGTGAACTTTAAACATAGCATAGTTGGCAGATAAAAAATTTTGGAACTTCCTAACAGCAAGATTGCCTATGAGCAAATCTTTCAAAAATAAAAGTTAAAAACTGCTCTCCAGTGTTTCCACTGTTTGTAAGAAATACTAACTGTTCACCTTCTGAAAAAAAAAAAAAAAAAAAATACTAACTGTTCCACCCTCTAGTTGTATCATGAGTACTATGGTAAATAAATAGTTGATTTTAGTATTGGCATGACATTTATTTTTTATTTTTACTTTTTCCACCATTGATCAAAAGAATAACAAATAAGCTGAATTTAAGAAGATTGACACTGTTCAACTAGTATATGCACTTCTGGCCTACTACATTAGATCAAAAGAATCGCTTTGTTTCACTCCTCCAAATTGCATCTCCCAAAGTCCCAAACCATCAAAGTAACTATGCATGCAACCAAACAATCCAAAGATTGAATAAGATGATGGGGTCCTGATTTGCTTTCAGTCATGGTATGCATATACTCACATCCACATATAAAATAACAAATAAAATGAAACAAACAGATTGTTTTCTGAAAGCATGAGACAACACACACATAGAGTTGTGTTTTGCCTAATATATCTTTCTATCTGGATACTCATATAACCATCAACCTCTAAACATTATGATGCTAATCATGGCAAGTCATAGCATGGCTCATTAATTTTTATAAAGATTGTTGCAGTATAGCTAAGCGATCACTTTATGTAATTCAGCAATGCCATAGTATGTAGACAAGTATAAGTGCATGACAATTAACCAATAAAAACTCCTTGTTTTGGACAATACCAAAGCCAAAATATGTTCCAGAAAGAACCAAAACAATGTTGATTTTTCAAAGCACAGTTCGGTTGCCTGTACAAAAGGTAACTTGCTTTCATAAGTTTTTTTTTTTTGATAAGTAAAAAACGTGCTCATTTTTTAAAAAGAAAAGCAAGAAATAAACTTTTAAAAAAAAAAATTAAAAAATAAAAAACAACAAATTAATGCATAAGATTTTGTGTTTCCACATCTCAATAGATCACAAGCCAAGAATGTATGGAATTATTTATTTAATTTTTGCCACCAAGCGTGGTGATAAAATCAGGACTACATGTTTAGGACATAAATTAATTGAAATATTAACATAAGTGTGTGTTCGTAAATAGAATATTTATTGTATACATACATGAGAGAGATAGAGAGAGAGACAGAGAGACCTACAATGGGGGTGGAATTGAAAAGATTTATTATATATACAATGAGTCACGAGCACAAAGGATTGGAAATATTTGCCAATAACATTGCCCACTTTTCACAATCCTTTTTCAACTACTAAAAACTATCAACTACGAGAGGACACAAATTGTTCAAAAGGAATAAATACAAAAAACAACTTCTAAAACACAAGAGAAGAAGGGAGGCGGGGGGGGGGGGGGGGGGGGGGGGGGGGGGGGTGGTGGGGGGAAGAAATTGACTCTAAAATTAAAACTTATTTGCATGGAGTAAATATAAAAATCAAAGAAATTTAACTATTCTCATGCCACAAGATTGATTGTCATCATAAGCCTTCACAGCACTATGTAATTAAACTGAAGAAGCAAGTACACTTCTATGGTTAAAATCTACACTTAATAACAGACTATGGAGAAAGAAAAAATATAAAATATTGGGTCAATCTAATGAATTGCCAGTGTGTAGTCTAATACTCCAGTCTCCCTAGTGAAATATTAAAACCTTTTTTTTTCGTGAATAGTAATCAATAGTTTGTTTTTGGAAAAGTGAAAAATTTAAGACTGCAACCTCTAATGTGGACCATAAGCAAACTAAAACACAAGTTTCAGAATACAGTCATACAGATGCTTTTTACCACATTATATAAGCCCTAACCCTCGAAAGACCAAGTAAACCATTATATAAATTTAATAATAAATCTCCAAATTTGCAAAGATTAAAAAGAAAAAAAAAGGCTAGTTAGGCAAAAAAGTTACCTCATAGAATCAGTTAGTAACTCGTTACGAAAAGCTTTGTTCAAAGAAGCGCTCTCTCATCTCCACTTTGATAATGGTGCTTACTGAGTTTTCAGAATTGGATATATACATCGTGTATTTATATATACACTCTTTCACTTTGCCAGAAAATAATTTGAGGCTTTAAAAGCCTGGTCTCGTCTTCTCTGGCGCATCTCCATCTGTGGAGCAGGCAATCCTCTCCTCTCTTGGTTTTGAGAAGGGTCACTTACCTGTGAAATACCTAGGTGTCCCCCCCTCATCTCCACTAGACTCAACAAGTTCATTGACTGCAAGCCCTTAATTGAGAGAATTACCAGCATGATAGGGCAATGGATCAGTAAGGCCCTATCTTATGCTGGTAGGCTACAACTTATAAGATAAGTGCTCATTAGTATTCAGCTCTTCTGGTCTTGCATTCTCTCTCTGCCCAAGATGTTATCTCAAGAATTAACCAAATTCTTAGATGTTTCTTATGGACAGGTCCTGAAATGAGGAAATATGGTGCTAAAGTTGCTTGGTTGTAGATTTGTTCTCCTAAGAAAAATGGAGGTTTAGGCCTTCCAGATCTGAGTTACCTCAACACTGCAGCTACCATGAAGCTCTCTCTTGGAATATTTTAAATGGCAACAGTCGAAGTTTAGGGGTGAAGCATTATCTGAACAGGGTAAGAAGCTTCTGGGAACTGAATATCCCAGAGTCTTGCTCCTTTTTTTTTGAAGGTCTTCTAATTGGAGGACCCCCAACCATACCAGCCCCATGACACTGGTGAGATTTAAGTCGCGGACTAGCACAGCGGAGGGGATTCAAACCCACACTCGGTACACTGGATATGGACGTACAGTCTTGCTCCTGGTGTTGGAGAAAATTGCTACAGCTTAGGCATACCAGCAGGTCCCTTATGAGATTCAGGAATTGGGATGGCTCTTCCAATCTTTTTTGGTTTGACCCCTGGGGTCTTAGTGGATCTCTTTTTGCCTAATACAGCCTTCCCCAGATTGCATCCATGCCCTTGCCCAAATATGCCACTGTCAACTCCATTATCTCTGGCAACTCGTGGATTCTTCCTTGAAAACTCACATCTATTATCCCTGAGCTGAAAGATATTGCCCTCATTCCTCTCCTCAATGACACTGTTCTCGATAAGCTTCTTTGGACACCATCTCCTTCTGGATGCTACTCTCTTAAGCAAAACCTCAAACACTTGGTGTGCAAACTTGCTCCAAAGGCCACCATATGCCATGTTTGGCTTCAAAAAGAAAAGCCGGAGTTTTCAGGGATTCTGCTTCTTCTGCTACTCTCTTAAGCATAACCTCAAACACTTGGCGAGGAGTGTTGCCTTGGATTGGGATCTCCATAATTAGTTCCTCTGACAGTCCTCTTCTTCTTCGTAGCTCTGTATCTTTTAACCGTCCGTTGTGACGGTTTGATGTTGTAATTTTGGGCCTCTATTCATTGGGCTTGGGTTGTTGCTTGGGCTTCGTAGCTTTTGGGCTCAGCCCAACTTATTGTGTACAGTTTCTCTTATTTATTTATTTATTTTGCTTGACCTTTTCAAAAACAGAAGAAATTGAATTGGCTTTGACAGATAATCCAAATTTGGGACGTTATTATTTATTTAAGTTAACTTCAAATTATAATGGTGCAATATCGCCATTGTTCTAATTAATATTAATAAAACTCAAACATGTTTTAAAAATTCATTGTCCAAGAAGAAAAATAATGCTTAGATAAAAATTCACAATAATGTTTTTTTTTTTTTTTTTTTTTTGAAGTCAATAAGAAAAAAATCCTAAATAAAATAGATTTATCACTATAACTTTCTTTTGGCAATTGACTAATGGACCTTCTCTTCTTCTTCTTCTTCTTCTTTTTATTATTATTTTTTATTTTTTATTTTATTTTAAATAAGTAATAAAAATGAATCAGATAATGTAGAACTGACATTATTATAAAAATAGTCGAATTGGTCAAACTATCATACTACTTATATGTATACCAGACCTTGTATATATAAAAAAGAGTTTTCATTAGTGGATACTCCATGGCAAAATGCCCAGGTATTAAAGACTTTCTCCCAGAGCACCTGAATGTAGTGGCATGGGATCAAGACATGTCAATAATAACCTCATACAACACCCAAATTTATCCCCCATTTAAAACTTTAAAGTCGATCCCCACTTCAAATTTTATTTTATTTTATTTTTGGGTACATATCAATAAATAATCTGTTAACTGCTTAAAATAATTAACCCTCTCGCCAAATCCAAAAAATTCAACTTAGAATAGAAATATGAATTAATTTTTTTTAAAATTTATTATTATTATTATTATTTTTTATCTCTGGTTAAGTAAATACTCTCATACACAAAATAAACACATTTTAGTACATAGAACATAGTAAATATCTATTAATAATACTGCACCAACACAACACACATTAAGCCTCCCCTTATAGGCTAGAGAGCCGAGTGTCACGGGCCTAGAGTTCCTTACTCCAAACGTCATCAGGAATCCGTCCATGACACAAGGGACACTGTTACATAGTAGCAAATGCTAGTAGCTAGTAGTAGCAATTAATCTTAGAACTAAATTAACTAGACCTCATACTAATCAGTCGCTCACTTGCCTAATAGTTAACTTTATATCTTTCTTCTTTCTTAAGACCTAAAGCGACCAAGACAAATGTAGCCTTAGAATTTAATAATCGATGCAACATCGATACATGATGAACTTCTCCATCGGACGGCCACATTCAGCGCAGACCACCCTCTCAGGGATGCTCCCGGTGGTCCCAGGCAATATCAGACGGTTGCAGTGATGCGGGGAGTGGATGCCATGGAGGTACTCATTGAGTGCCGGCACGAAACCAATCTCTCCCACCCGCCCCTCCCACAACTTAAACTCTGTAAAACTCCTCAACATAGTGTCACCCTTTCCTTTGGCCATCTCCGCGGAGGCTCCTCTACAGATCACAGCCCATCCTTGCTCACTGCCGTCGAAGCTCAGCATCGTCATGATCTCTTGCATTATCGGATCATTCTCCACAGTCTTGCCGTTTTGGACCTTTGAGTGCCACATGCTCTCGAGCCTCACCCAAAAGAACCACATCACATTTAGGTCTGGCAGTACATGACTAAGATTCTCACCAGCAATGGTGTCGTTGATTTTCCGAACTTTCTCCCTCGGGTTGCTTTTCCCCACGTAAAGCATCTGTAATGGGATGCGCGCCATTTTTGCAGCCGCGGCCAGAGTGTTTGTAAATCTTCGAATCCATTCCACGTCCTCTCCTCCATACAAGCAAATGTACTTTCCATCAATGATCTGAAAATGAACAAAAATTAATTAATTCTCTTTGTAACGACATGATATATATCAATGTTCATGTTAAACTTTTTGGTTGCAGAACAACAATGTAACACAAAAAACAGTTTGAAAATTCGTTGCAGACGATCTAAATAGGTCAAATTGTGCACAAATAAGATATTTTTGTTTAAGTGTCCAGATCCTCTGTTGTAAATTTTGGTGTTGCAGTGATTTTCAATACTATTATATCTATTTTTAACACATTTACATGTGTTTTTTTCAAGATAGATTTAATGTGTTGAAAAATAGACGTAATGTGTTGAAAAACATACTGCAAGGGATTACAACAAAGGATCTGGGCTCTTCGCCTATATGGTATGATCGACCTCTCTTTTTGAAAGGAAAGGTTGAGTGTTCGAGCAATACTGTGGGTTAGGTGTGTGCGCTTTCTTGACTTTTTGGAGAAAATCTCATACGTGTAATTTTATATGTAAATAGTATGAGACATTTAGGAAAATGTCATACCCAATTTGAGAGCAATTGGTCTATGGAGTCTACTAACAACTCAATCTTCCAGGTCTCAGCTTCCTTCCAGAGTTGTTCCTCTCTGGAGCTAGTGAATGGGAAAGCCAAGCTTCCCCAAATCCACATCATGTGGAGTGCATTAGGGTTCACAACTTTCCCTTGTGGATCCAACACCACAAGCAGTGGCTTCTTGTTGAATTTCCATACTTCCTTGATGTACTTGATGACTGCTGGATCGATCAAGGTAGGGTGAGCCACTGAGTACCATGGCATCAAGGCTTGTGTATACTCAAACTGCTTTTGCTTTGCGTCGTTCCACGGGGCTGATCTGTCCACCACCGGGAGCCAAAGCACCTGGTATAGCCTCTCCGGGCTTTTTGGATCCTCCCGTGACTCATTATACATCTGCTCGAGAATCGACTGTTCTTCATGGGAAAGCTCAAGGTCCGAAATGAATAGCAACACATTCTTCCTTCTCAATACATCAATGCTAACCTGTAGTCATAGTTTAAGTGATTTTCTTAAATTTTAATTCAATTTCTAGACAACGTTGATCAGAACAGAAAACTATTCTTAGAAAACTAAAGCAAACCTTTCTCTTGGTAGAACCATCAAAGAGCGGAAACTGATCATCCTTGGCATAAATCAAAACCTTCAGAATTTTCATGTTATCAATGTGGGGTGTCTCGAAGAGGTGTACAAGTGTTTGGAATGCTTCAATGTATCTCTTCTCATCTGCATCAATATATCCATATAATTATATTCACTTTATATTCCATGATTGTCTTTAATTTCTAAGACTTAGTTAAAACGAGTAGCATATTACATGGTCCATAATATTAATTAAACAAATTTAGACAACTCACCGATGTATTGATTACAACGAACCAGTTTCTCCTTCAGGTGGCTGTGTATATTGCTAACCTTATGAGCCAAGCTAGAGAGCTCCCAAGCTTCAGTGGTTGATGCTATGTACCTGAGAGCAATGATAAAATATTGCATTGTTTGCATTGAATCACATATAGAATTAAATAGTTGCTATATAGCGATAAAATTTTATATTTTTTAAAGGCCTAGATATGAGCAAAGGGCATACTCAGTGCACGATGCTCCCATCATTACGGGGTTTGGGGTTTGGGAGGGTCAAATGTATGTGGTCGCATGTGAAGAGTCTGTTTTCTTGTTTTGAAATGTGATCTCCGAATCACAATGATTCTAGTTAATGATCACTCCATAATAATTAGGCAAGAGCAGGTCTCATATATCATATATGTAGTTGCTATAAAGTGACAAATCTATCACACAATTTACTTCAAATTTGAGCAAATATGTAATCAAATCAATTATTATTGCATGAATAGAATTTGAAGCTGATATGAAGATGAAATAATTAAAACGTACTCATGACTCAAGCCTAAAAGGTTGATAATTTGTGATGCACAAGCCAGAATACTCCGAATAGTCCAGTAGACAGCTGTGGGGATGTGAGCAGTGGCCGTTGCCAATTCCGGTGTGTCGGGGCTAATGTACTGAGATGGGAGATCCTTGAACTCCACAATGCACTTGGTCACATCAAGCATGGCGTTGATGACGCTGGTCAGTGCCTCAAACTTAGGTTTCAAAGAGTCGGCGTGGTCTAGTATGTTCGGGAGTTGCTTGAGGAATGCAACAGACTTGGCAAGTGGATTGGTGGGATAAAGATGAGCAACTAGCCAGAATTCGCCATAGTTCACGGCGAAAGCTGCCAATGCTATCACCACCTTGGCATCCCATGAGTAGCTTTGAAGTATGTTGAAAAGTGCCACAGTGGTCGCGTGGGCATCCCCTCCTCCAGATCCTCCAGCACTACACTTGCACGATATCTGTCACATTGTTTTCTATTTCATTCAGTTTTCAAAAAGTAATTTTTAAAAACACTTAAAATAGAAAACAGTTTCTAAAAGAATCTACTTGGTTTATCACTGGGAAAATAGTTCTCAATAATTCAAAAAATAGAAAACTGTTTTTAGAGAACTATAAAAACAGTTCTGCAAATAAATTTCTTTTTGTAACTTACTTTTCATAAAATAGTTATAAAAAATGTTTAATCAAGTAGAGTTTTGTACAGATTTTTTATTTTCAGTTCTCATAACATAAAACTATTTTTTGAAAACTAAACCAAGCAACCCATAAAAGACTGATCTCTAAAACAACTTTAAACTTTAGGAGTCTTCAAATCAGTGTGTGTATATATATATATATATATATTAATTGTAGGCCTTAAATAGTATACCTCGCACGAAATTTTGTTTGTTGTGTATGCCAAAAGCTCAAGCATATCACTGAAGCCACTATGAAGGGTCCTGTCTTCATCCAATGCATCCGCTACTGGTGCTTGATTTCCCTTAAAAAATGGTTCAATGAGTGAAAATATAGCTAGAAATGCAGAAATAAAAGTGTATGAACACATAACAAAGAAGAAGGTTGAATACATGAACAATGCCGGGGATGGTAGGGGTTGAACATCGCATGACATCCTCAACGATGAGGAGAATAGGCTTGACATCAAACTCGCGGCCATCTGGAGCGTGGGTGGCCAGAATTTGCTTCATCATCGCATTGTCATCCGATGATGAGAACACGCTACGATCAGTCCTCATCTGTTGTCGTGTCTTAGCAGGTACAATAGCAGTAGTAGCCATGGGCTCCCAAAGGTGAGGTTGTGAATATTCAGAGGAGAGAAAGAAGTGAGAACTATATATATATATATATATATATATAACTTGTGTTGGTTTACATTTGGCTAGCTTCCTCTTAAGACTTATATATAGCTAATGGAAAGTGGACAAAAGGCCAGTGAATCAATTAGTACTATACCTTGCTTCCGAGGTGGTTTAGAGCTTTGGAATTTTGGATAACAACTAAAAATGAATAGTGGTGGTCCAATTGATACTTTCTTTATTTATAGATTGTAAAAAGGATAGTCTAAGATTCGTATACAAACTTTAGTTGCTTTTTTTTAAACAAACTTTAGTTGCTGATACAGTAAAAATGATTCAGTTTTGAAGTACAATTACAAATACATACAGTACTGATGTGTACAAGCTAAGTACATTTTGTGATAAATTTTTTCATGGTAGGTATTACAAGGACGACTTGTCCCACATTGGATCTGGATGGGGAAGTAAATGGATTCATATAAGCTAGGTGTTAACCTTACTTGATGGTTTAAGCTTTTAGGTCGGTTTACAAATCATCCTGCCCATGTTTGACATTTTCTTTTTAATATAAGATTAGTTTATGTTTAATAATATTCCTTTTAAAAAAAACTTAATTACCATTTGACATTATAAAAGACTTTTGATAAACAAATATAATTGTAAGAGAAGAGACAAAAACATAGATAATATACAAGAAAAAGATAGGACGAGATAAGGAAATTATATATAAGAGCATAAGTTGCACTTGTGCGGAAGCTCTAGCAGCTCCATAGACATTAATGTAAGCTTGACATAAAATTAGAGATTAGCTAGGTACCTTTGTGTGCCCTTCATTTCTACTATGTATGCTCAAAGCTTCGGATTGTAGGGAATTGGTGGACAAAATAATTCAAAGAATTTATGAAAATTTCCCTACTAAAATTACAATTCGGCCCCATTTTTTTTTTTAACATTTTTTAAAATTTAAGAAAAAATCCAATTGAAATTATAAAAATGAATCCCCCAAATTAAAAGTCCGCCTTCCCTCACAAAATTTTCTAAGTCCGTCATTGATCGCTAATGAATATGAATTATATATTGGAACCATATTGAATTGCTAATACTTGCATGTAGAGAGGCCCATTATACGACTTTGAAACAGTGCCCAACATGCATCTCATAATCTCATTTTTCAAGCAAAGTATATTGATGTATGATATTTGTAAGGGATCGGAGCTAGACCCAACCCCCATTAGGCCGAGAGAGGTACATGGCCAACAGGCCAACCCAACCACAAAATGAGAACTAAAAAAGCGAAGCCCAATAACCATTACGCTGCAGCCAATTTGGAGACAAAAATAGCCGTTGCCGAATTCAAAAACAGAATGAGTTAGCAGCAGGGCAATAAGGGCACGCTGCTATGGACTGTTACTCAGGTCTGCCTTGGATGCTTCGAGCTGGAGGACGAAGAACAGAGACCGGAATGCCCCATTCTCTAAACAAGCACCTATACTCAGGCGAATCAGACAGATGACAAGTCAATAGAATATTGCTTTTAATATTCTATCATATTATCATTTTTATTATTGTGTTATCTATCAAATCAATTATCTATTCTACTCTCATTTTATTTGTAATTACATTATAGTGTTTTTTTTAATTTTTTTTTTAATGTTATTCATGTTTGTAGTTATAAAATCATGTTTCATTAATTTGTATACATGTACAATGTAAATTATTGAAAATATGAATAAAATTAGTGTTTTATGTTCTTAGCAATAACAGAAGTCGCCATTGATTGGTTAACCCTTTTTGTTTTTTTGGACAATTGGTTTTGTCAATTTGTTAACTGCTTAATCATTAACCCTCTTCCCAAATCTATAAAAATTGAGCTTGGAATAGAAAAACAAAGATATATTTTTTCAATAATTAAAAAAACACATTCATTACCTAAAACATAATAAACATTTATTACTAATACTGCATCAACACAACACACATCACCACCAACGCCTTAGAGCATTGTGGGAATTATTTGAAAAAAAAAAACTAGAGAGCAAGGGACATTATTACATGCATGGTAGCAGATACCATGATAATGATATATAGAGAAAGAGACAATCCCTTGACACACACACATATATATAGCTTAATCGGTGCAACAGCGATATGTGATGTACTTCTCCATGGGACGGTTACAGTCAATGCAGGCCACCTTGTCAGGGATGATTCCCTCGCCGGTCTCAGGCAATGTGAGATAGTTGCAGTGATGATCATCCCGGGAATGGAGTTTTATGAGGTACTCATTGAGTGCAAATATAAAAGTAGTCTTTTCCGCACGTTCCTGCCATTCCTTATATTCGACGAAAGTTTTGGTCATAATGTCACCCTTTGCTTTTGCCACTTCCCTATCCGCGGAAGATCCTTTACTAATCAAAGCCCATCCTTCGCTACTGCAATCGAAGCTGAGCAGTGACAGGATGTCTTTCATTATCGGATCGGAGTCTGCAGCCTTCTTGTCTTCCTCAATTTTGACCTTTGAGTGCCACATGCTCTCTATCCGTGACCAAAACCACCAGATGGCGGCTATGTCTGGCAGTGCACTACTAATTTTTTCTTGAATAATGGTGTCATTGATCTTCCCAACTTTATTGGTCGGCTTGCTTTTCCCCACGTAAAGCATCTCTAATGGGATGTTGGCGGCTTTTGCAACCGATTTTAGAAGAGTGGTAAAATTCCGAATCCATTCTAGGTTATCTCCTCCATACAAGCAAACGAACTTTTCTTCACTCATCTGAAATCAATTATTTAATTGAACAGAAATCAATTACTAATTCTTGATCTAACTATGACATATATATGTAGACATTCATAAATTGAGCATGCTCTCCTGTAAATTTTAGCAAATAACCCCAATTTAGGTTTAGTTGTGCCTACATCCCAAAAGGGGAGGACCATATCAATATTATCATCTTAAAACTTTTTTATGGTAGAGCAGCAAACATAAGACAGAAAACAGTTTGAAATTTCATTTACGGTTTGAAAACGTAAGACACTCCTAAAATGCTCTACCATAGTTTTTAGCAGAAAACACTAATTTAGGTTTTAATAGTTCATATATCCCACCAGGGATCAATGATCATACCAACATTGATCATCTTAAACTTTTTTGCTGTAGAGCAGCAAAGTAAGACAGAAAAGAGTTTGAAAATTCTTTTACTAATTGAAAACGTAAGACATTATTCATAAACTAATCTACCGTAGTTTTTAGCAGAAAACCAAAAATTTTAGTTGTGGAGCAGCAAACATAAGACAGAAAACAGCTTGAAAATTTGCTTACAGCCAAAATTGTGCATGCATGTGTTAATGTACACACACACACACACACACACATATATAGTATAAGGCATTTAGGAAATTAAAATGTCATACGTACCCATCTAAGGATCATTGGCTCTATGGAATCTTCTACTACGAATTCAATCTTCAAGGTCAATTCCTGGTTCCAGAGATCTGTCTCTCTGGACTTGGTGAATGGGAAAGCCGAATTTCCCCAAATCGACATCATGTGGAATGCATTGTAGTTCACAGGTTTCCCATGAGGGTCTATCACCACAAGCAGTGGCTTCTTGTTGAATTTCCATTCTTCATTGATGTACCTGATGACTGCCCCATCCACCAAGCTAGGGTCAGCCACCGTGTACCATCGCATATAAGTAACTCGTGTGTCCTCAAAATGCTTTTTCTTCACTTCATTCCATGGGGTTGATTTGTCCACCGACACCGGCAACCACACCACCTCGTAGTGGCTGTCAGCCCTTTCTGGTTTCTGCCGTGACTCGGCATACCTGTGCATGAGAATGGAAAGTCCTCCTTCATGGGAGACCTCAAAGTCTGAAATGAATAGCAACACAGTCTTCATTCTCAATACATCAATTCCATGTTCATGTGCCTAGTCACATATATATAGAAAGATCAGTTCATGACAAGCGTTACAACAACAAAAACAATAACAACGTCGCTTTCCAATACTTGGAATCAGCAATGAGAATTAAAGAACATAAAATAAATAAATTTTGAAGTGGCTTATGATGGAACTAACCATTTTCTTGACATCATAGAGTGCAGGCTTATCCTCCTTGTAAACAAAAAGTCTTTTCATAATCACTGTGTTATCAAAGTGGGGTGTCGACTGGAAGAGGCGCACAAGTGCTTGATATTCGTCAATTTCTATCTTCTTACCTGCATCATTCATATATCATATTGACTTTATATCATATTTATTCATATATCATGAATATGATCCACTCTATAAAATTATATTGACTTTATATTCATATAAATTCCATGATTGTCTTTTCTAAGACTCAATACCCGCCAAAATAATTTCGAAATACAACGTCTCTAAAAAAAATGTGGTGTCAATAGTCATTTTTTGTTGTAGTGGTACTTGGAACTAGTAGCATTTTACATGGCCCATATATATAATTAATTTAAAATATTTAGACAACTCACCAATGTGTTGACGACATAAAAACAGTTGGTCCGTCAGTTGCATGTGTAGGTTTTTAATCCTAAGAGTGCAGATAGAGAGCTGCCAAGCATCATTGGGTGATTGGTAACTGCAGCGGCGTAGTCAGGAATTTGATTTAGGGGGCATATTAGACAGGATAAAAAATAACAATAATAAAAATTCTGTACTGTAATCAAATCAATAATGTTGAATGAATAAGAATTTGAAGTTGATATAATATGAAAGAAATTAAAACTTACTCAGGACCCAAGCTCATAAAGTTCATAATTCGTGGTGCACAATCCACTATACTCTCAATAATGTAGTAAACTTTAGTGGGTATTTGAGCATTGGCAGTTTGGTAAACGGGTACAGTTGGAGTAAAGTACTGAGACGGGAGCTCATAAAATTCGATAATGCTCTTGATCAGGTCAAACAAGGCTTTGTAGAAGTCGGTCAGTGCCTCCAACTTGGGTTTCAGAGTCCGGGAGCCCTCCTGTTTTATGTCCGGGAGTTGCCTAAGGAATCCGACCGACTTGGCGAGTGGATTGGTGGAGTGAAGCTGAG